CCATAACGTGAGGCGGCACCCATCTATTTACATTTATGCCGTTGAGAATCAAGGATGGAATGTGAACCCTGTATGGGAAGGGCCTTAAAGATTCAGATGCCACTCGTAGTATGGCATTGAGTTTCAAATCTAAGACAGTAAGAGGTGCTGGAGTCCTGTGGCCACAGAACCAAATGTTCCATAATCTTGAGAGAATGTGATATCTTAGAGATGGCTGTTTCAACTTCATTTCACAGGTTTGAAAAAGTAGGCAGAGAGGTTAAATAGCATGCTCAGGGTGAAAGGGTGGCAGAATATCAGAACATCATTCCTTATCACCACCTGCTTTTCTTTGCTTTTAAGTTTTCTTCTTATGACCAACAAGCACTGACTGTTGAAATACAAATGTGGTAGCTGATCTAAGACTATAGCAGCTGATGATCAATTTAGTATTTTTAATTAGTCAAATTGTATGTATTTAGAACAATGGATTTAATTTAAGATTCCTGAGAAATTGAAATATTTTTATAAACCCTACTACTGATTCCTTTTGTCCAAGACAGTCGTACACCCAAAGATCCTTCCAATTCCACTCTTAGTGAATTCTATGCCCAGAGTCGATTTTTCTTGTGATAGTATCAAGAATGATGAAACAGCGGCAGGTATTAGGAAAAAAAACAGTCTTGAAAGTTCACAAGAAAAATTTCCTTTAAAGACTCATTAAAGGCAGACTATTTTATTAGTTTGAGTAGCAGATACAATTAAAAGACTTAGGTAAAATGTTTATGTATTCTTAATGCAGCTGCTGAGTACAATCCAACAGAAAGACAGTGATCTTCATTACCAGAAGCAGCACACTGAGCATTAATAATAGTATGTGGGCAGGTTCCAACTTGCTCAGTGAAGTCATTCAGCTGTGAGTCATGGTGTGTTTTAACACCATGAAGGTGTGTTTTAATGTACTGTATAAGTCATGGACCACAAGTAGCACATTTCATAGAGTTGGCAGTTATGTTTCTTTAGATTCCAGATTTTTCAGAAATGTCATCTAGAGATGAAACTTGGATTTATAGTTATGATCCTGACCAGAATAGAGTTCTCAATGGAAATCACCTAGGTTCCTTTAGTATTAAAAAAAAAAAGCACATATCAATCAAGATCCAACATCAAGGTGATGTTGATTGTGTTTTTAATCTTGAAGGTATTGTTCAAGGGGACCAAGAACACTACTGAGAGTTTGGGCTATCATACAGGCTTGTAAAGCATTGAAGAACCAATATACATAGGAAATGACCTCAGAAGTGGACAACAGTGTTATTCTCCATCGTGACAATGTTCTTTGTCACATGTCCTTTCTGGTGTGGCAATTTCTGCCAATAAAAACATCATGCTGTATCCACATCCATCTTTTTCACTGATTGGAGTCTTCCCCAAAGTCAAATTACCATGAAAGGTAAACATTTGCAACTGATTCAGGACATTAAGGTGACAATGACAGGACAAGAAAAGACACAAAGGCAAGAGGACCTCCAGAACTGCTTCACAAAGTGGCAAGAAAAATAGAAAAGTATGCTCAATGAAAGGGAAAACAAACATTTTAAACTTAAGTATTGAGTTTTAAACTTCAGTTTTTGATCACACTTCGTGTGTGTGTGTGTGTGTGTGTGTGTGTGTGTGTGTGTACCATTGATCTATTTGGTAGGTTGAATCTTTAGTCCAAGGAGTTTTGTCTATTTTTTGCATTCCAAATTTTGTTAATTTGACATAAATTGACACTATAGCTCTACAAGTGCCTAACCATATTTGAATTAAATAGTGCAGTATCTAAATGCTGCTGAGACTTCGTAGATATACTCTCATATGAAAATGAGACAATATTTAGTGATACTAGGTGGCATTATAGTTGCAGGGGTCTTAACATTTTCAATGTGTGTATATTTATATTTATATACCTTATTATTGTGCAGAATCCTTAAACTGTATCACTTCAAGACCATAATCTAGTATAGTTTCCTAAAGAAAATCAAACTTAAAAATCTCACTTTGCATATTCTAATGAATAAAGCCATCAGTAAAAACAAAAGCTATGCTAATCTAGAATTATATGTACATGTCCTGTCGTACAAATGCCATATTCTTTATTCATTGCTTTTAACAAAGTGCAGTTGTTATATGAAATGGTAAGGAAGAATAAAAGGTAATGTATAATAATATATTTTACTTAAAATCACCTTTGGCCCAATTCTCTCCAAGGCAACAGAAGTTGAATTTGCATGTCCAACAAGCAGATTACAAGACTTTAAAAATTTTCTGACTTTCTCATGCCTCCTTAGTAATCAGTCCCTGAATTCTGAACCTCTGTATCCCTGACCACAAGGCTCTTAAAGAAAATGTTTGAATGTCTCCACAGGGTCAGCTCAGGAAGTTTGAGTTGTGCATGACCAAACAAGCTAAAGAGTATTCTTTGCTTGCAGCAGAGAAAAGCTGGGAATTAATGCACAAGGCAAAAGGCTGGGCTGCTTGGCTGCTGTACGCTGCAGCGTGCAGAACAAACTCTGTGAAAGGAGTGAAGGAAAACTTCCTGCCTAAGAATGATGATGCCCTGAGGGGAAAAGTAAACATCTGTTCCCTTGTCTAGTGAATATGTTTAGGGAAAGCAGCTGTCATCTGCTCGGAGTTAAGAGATGGACTTTTCCACCTCCACGCTTTCCAAAGTCACAGTTGTGCTTCATCTCTGATGCTGGAGGCCAGCGTAAACCACGAAGGCCTTTGTCTAAACGTTTTCCTTTCTCTCTTCTCTTGCCTCGGCCCATAGAACTGACTTAGAAAATCCATATTTCCTTGTGAATTGTAGTCTTGGGGAAAGGTTCATAAGACTATGAACTTTCATTGAAAGCTTAAGCAAGTCTGATGTATTTAAGTGAAATCCGAAGCCTACGATGAGCAGGAGAGTGTAGAAATATCCTCAAATTTACAGGAAAATCTGTAGCTCTAGGTATCTATCAGATGGTATTACTTTGACTCATTTTACTCACAAAAGATGAAGGTAAAGCAGACTAGTGGCATCTCAGATACAGGAAATCTAGTTCAGGAACCTGCTTCCAATTTCTTAATATTTCTTTTCTCTGACTCAAAATAAAAGCCTCTCTTCATCAGGTTAATCTCGGCCTGATTCAGTTAAAACACTCTAAAAGGTGCTGAGAGGGCTCAGAGATGGAGGAATCTGGTTTCTGCAAATTCCAGGCCAGCAGGAGTCCAGCAGGAGTGCTTGTTTGGAGGGTGCTAGGGCTCCTTGGCCTCAACCAGTGGCTGCTTCATGAGAAACAGAGCTTAGTATGACCTGATATTTCAGGAGAAACTGGAAATTTGTTTTTAAGTTCTTCCAGCTTTTAAATAGTACAAAAGATGCAGTAATTTAACAAAATTTAGTACCAAACCAAATAAATTGAGGTGCTCTTGCCAGATCTGTCAGTTTTCTAACACTGATTAATGGATTTCAGCCTTCTAAGATTTAGGACTTTAAGAACACAATTTATTGGTTCACATTAAATAAAGAAGATTGCATTCCCTTCCAGTCCTTTAATAGATATATTAAAAAATACTAAAACTATTTATCAGTAGCCAGTAAGATAAAACCTTGTCTGTAGATCTCAGTGAGGTTTAGGAGACAGAAAGATAAATATGAAACTAAATTACAGTAAACCAAATGTAATTCAGCAAGGTGGGGCTAGCTCTGAGGTGCACTTAACTTTTCTTTGGATAGTAATACTTCAGAAAAAATACATCAATTAAAAAGTAAATGTTTTACAGAAAGATCAGCATGATGAAAAAAAGTAAAGCATGTTTGGGAAAAATGTATGTATTTGGTACAATTAATTAACTGTGAAAACCAAGGATTTCAATTAAGAAGCATATTCCCCTCCAAAAATCAAAACCAGTTTCTCAAGGCCCATCCCAGAGCTACTCAGTCAGCATTTCCAAGTTAGTGGCTATATTACACACCACAAGTGTCTCAGGGTCAGGCCTGGGCAAAGCAAATGTGGTGGAGGCAAGCTCTGGTTATCTGCAGGGGAGACACCGTGTCCATGTGAGAGCTGGACTGCAGACCTGGCTCCTTTCCATACCTAGTGGGGGTACCATAAGCAAGAAAAGTATCTTCTTTGTGCTTAAGGTTCTGTACCTCAAAAAAACATACCAAGAGTATCTGCTTTAGAAGTTTGCTCTGAAAATGAAATGTTAGTATTTGGAACGTTATCTTTCTCTTGCTCATTGCTGGACTCCCAGCTTACAGCTTTGGGACAGTTCCAGAATAACTACTCCATAAATATTTGTTGAGTGAATAAGGCCAGGAAGGTAGAAAACGGCTATATTAGGGTTTTTCTCTTTCTCTCTGCCTAGCCTAACTGAAACTATTGGTTACCTCACATGGCTCACTTTACTAAAATAAATAAATAAGGAGTCTCTTCTGTAATAAGAGTATTACATTTGTTTCAGGCAGAACTCCATTACTGTGACAGAATATTAAGATGACCAATTGTAAAAAGTGGAAAGGTTTATTTTGGCTTGTGGCGAGTTCTAAGTCTCATCCATTGTCTCCTTTCTTTTGGGCCTGTGGCAAGGCAGTACCTGATGACAGGAAGCTCCAAGTGGAGCAAGTTGTTCAGGAAGTGAAAGACAAGAGGAGGCCTGGGTTTCAGTATCCCTGTTACGGCCATGCCCTCATGACCCTGGTGCTTCCTCTCTCCAGGCCTCCCAGGAAGCTCCACTGGAGGCCAAACCTTTAATGCATGGGCCTTTGGAGGACATTTCATACCCTAAGTAAAATCACCTTGAAAAGAAAAACTAATTAGTGTGCTAGTTCCCTGCAGCTAACAGCAAGAACAGGGTGTGCAGCGGCGGGGCCCCAGGGCACATCCCCCGAGCAGGATGAGGTTGGTCAGAGAGCTAAGTGAAAACACTTGGTGAATCGCCACTGCCTTTAATGACCAGCTTGATTTTGTTTTTCTCTCACCTTACCTAAGGCTGCTGTGGTACCGTCCGCCCAGACCCTTAAAATTACTGACTTCAGCTTCAGTGACTTCGAGCTGTCTGATCTGGAAACGGCACTGTGCACAATCCGGATGTTTACTGACCTCAACCTCGTGCAGAACTTTCAGATGAAATATGAGGTAGGAGGGAGCCGTCCTTTGGAAATTGTGTGTGTGTGTGTGTGTGTGTGTGTGTGTGTGTGTGTGTGTATGTGTAAGATTTGGGGCACTGGTGTGGATTAGGGATTTTTACTTTCCAGTAACCATTTCACTGTCATCTCATGCAAACTATCAACCAATAAAGAGACATTTTTTGGGCCTGGCCCATATCAAGCTCCAGGTCAGGGAATGAAGGAGTGTGCTGATACAGCAAGAACAGGGTGTGCAGCGGCGGGGCCCCAGGACACATCCCCCGAGCAGGATGAGGTTGGTCAGAGAGCAGCTGGAGAGCAAGTGAGCAACCAGATTACACAGCACCTTGTAAACCATTCAGAAGAATTTGGATTTTGTCCTGAAAATAGTGTGAATCACGGAGGAATTTTAAGCAGAGAAGTAACACGATCCAGGGCCGCAACAGGAGAAGCTGCTCTGGCGGTGAGGGAGGAGAGGACAGGCACTTGGTGTGAGGCCAGACTCTTAGCCGGAAAAGGGTCTCCTGGAATGAAGATGAAAATTTATTTAACCCTGTTGGTTGTCTTGTTCCCCTCTCAGGAAGAAGCGAGATTTAAATCAATACCTTGTAATATCCATTTGGAGATATCCAAGAATTCTGTTTTGTCTTGTAGCGGCTGTGCATACAAATCAAAGAATAAGGGAGTAGTGGACGTCCTGATGTGTATCTGTCATACCAGCTGTTCAGGAGGCTGAGGCAAGGGGATTGCAATTTCAATGCCCGCGTGGGTAGTTTAGCAAGACCTTGCTCCGAAAAAAGGCTGGGATGTGGCTCAATGATAGAGCACTTATTTGACGTGCAACAACCATTCTTTTGGTTTGATTGCTAGCCCTGCACACAAAAAAGTTAAGAATAGGCGAGGCCAGGCCTGACACCAAAGTTCAAAAAACAAACAAACAAAAACAAGGAGAGCACAAAGAACTGGCTTGAACAATAATTCGCAAGCCTGCCTTTAAAGGATTTTTTTTCTCATCAATTGTACATATGTCCTATTTGGAAATTCAAGCATTTTGAAGTCTTTCACTATTTAGCTCTCCGTTAATTCATTTAAGAAAATTCCATTTAGTGTCCTCTGTACGCTCAACACTTTGTCCCATTTCAGCTGTGAGTTGTCCCTACTTTTCAGCTCATTCACTTTGGAAAGAAAACTAAAGGCAAATGAGCATAGCTAAAATTAACGTAACTTCATGTAGTACAAGTGGAAGCCCAAATCTAAATTTGTTTTTAATTTAACCAGTTTATATTACTGTTTCTTGAATCAAGATCAAGAACATCTGTCCATATACTAATAATGATTTAGTCTCTATTTTCATTTTTTTATTTTTAGGAGAATAACATCAAACAGAATAAAGCCAGTCATAACAAAACACTGAAAGTGATACAGGACCTCAAAACAAGATAATAGGAAATCAAAAAATGGCTAACATAATGCCTCGTGTTTTCTTCCAAATAGCTGCCCGTACCATCAGACCTAATTAAATCAAATCAAACAGAAAAAAAAATAAAACCAGTCAAAATAGAACAGTGAAAGTGATACAGCATTTCTAAACAACACAATAGGAAATCAACAATGGCTATCATAAGATACTTGTTATCTTTGAAAGCCATTAGATATAACAAAATCAAATAAAGCAGAACAGAATAAAACCCATCAAAACAAAACAATGAAAATGATACAGGACTTAAAACAAAATGATAGGGAATTAACAGTGGCTACCACCTTCCCTTTCTATATGTTTCCTCCCCTTTCACATTCACCATACGTATTGCACATGTTGGATCCCACTAACTCCTTCAGTTTTTTATACTTGGGGAAATAACATGATGTTCACCTATGTGAGTCCAGACCGTTTCACCCATGAGCACGGTCACAAGTTGCATCCATTTACTTACAAGAGCCTCATGATGATTATTTTTTATGGCTTAGTAGCTTTCCATTGTATAAAAATGCCGTATCTTTCTTATCCATTTTATAGTTGATGGGCTACCCTACTTTTTCTGGTTTCCTGTTGCATGGAACATAGTTTTTCCTCTTTTGACTTTCAGTGTATGAATTTCCTTTCAAATTAAATGTGTTTCTTGTATGAAGCATATCGATGGATCTTATATCTTGATCCATTCTACTTTTGTTTCTTTTTATTGGTGAATTGAGGCCATCTACATTCATGGTTATGCTCAACATGCACTGGTTTGGCTCTGCCATGCTTTTTTCCTGCTGACTTTTCCCTTCCAGTCAATTGTCTGCCCCACTCAGCAGTCCCACTCTGCTGCTTTTCCTGGGACCATGGTCATTTTTAGCTCTCTAGATATCCTTCAGTGCTTTTTGTAGGGTTGATGTGGTCATGAATTCCTTCAGTTCTTTGCCATGGAATATCTTATTTTTCCATTAATTTTGAAAGATCTTTTTGCAGAGTACATTAATATGGGTTGGAAGTTGTTTTCTTTCAGGACTTGAAATACTTCACGCTCTTTGACTTGATGGATTGTGTTTAGAAGAGTGTTGTGATTCTGATGGGTTTTCCTTTATAGGTGATGTGTTTCTTTTTTCTAATAGCCTTTAATGTTCTATTCTTATGCTGAATTTCTGGGATCTTGATTATTAAATGTCTGGGTGTAGATTTATTTTGGTTGTGGCTATTGGATTCTATATGCCTCATTTATCTGTGTGTCAGGTCTTTTTGACATACTTGGGAAGTTTTCTGCTACTCTGTAAATAATCTCTTTATGTCATTTGTGTTGACTCCTACATTTTTGCTGACACTTAGCACTCTTAAATTGTTTTTTCTTTTCCTTGCAGCTATTAAAGTGTTATTTCTTGATTCCTTGTTATTTTTAGGAGATCTTTCCTTTCATGATCCCTAGATCTGAAAGTCTATGTTCAGTTTATTTCAAATGGTTTCGCCAGCTTTCAGTGGGCTTTTTAATTTCCTGGATCTCTTGAAGTCTGTTTCATGCATTCCATTTCTTCTCCATACTGTTCATTCAGGGTTTCCCTCGTTCTCCTGTGCTCCTCTTTTTTTTTTTAATCAATGTCTTCCGTAGATATGCTCAGTAGCCCTTTTACTGTGTTTGTCATTTCTTTTTCACCTGAGATTCTATTCCTGATCTCATTTCTTTTACAGCCTCATGAAGTACTCTCATTACTTCAGTTGTCATCATCCCAGAAAGTTCAGATGTGTGATTTCCACTTTCTTCCATGTCTGTGTCTTCTGGACTTGTTCTTTTCGGCTGGTGGCCAGGGATTGCCATTTGCTCCTTGATCTTGACATGTTCTTGGGGTCCTCTGGATGAACGGGTTGTGGAGTCCCAGGCACTTCCCACCTTGGCTACCTATTCACAGTTTAGAGGAATGCATCAGGCACTTGGGTTTCTCCCAACTCAGGTTCCCTGGGAGACAGTGGGATGTGGGACGGACTTCTCCAGACACTTGTGGTTTCTCCAAGGCATGGCTGGCTGGTTCTCCTGGCCCTTGCTGGCCACCAATGGGAGAGTCCTGCTAACGGCTGTGTGTGCACAGGGGCTGGGCTGGCTACTTCTCCCCACCCGTGCTGACTACCCATGGGAGTGTCCTGATGGTGGTCTGCATGCATGCAGGGGCCGGGAATACTCCACTCCTACCATTTAATTTAATTATTTTATTATTTTAACACCCTCTCAGGAAAGATCCTTTGTTTGTGATTATTATCTCTGTTTTATAAGTGAAGAAATCAAGGCAGCAAGATGCAGCAGAGGATTCCAGAAGTTCTGAGTCATAGATATCCCAGTGATCATCTTGTATTCCCTTGGTAATTAGTGTCTCATATTCCCCATTTCCTCTTCTGTCAGTTAGGGTTAATGGTGTTACTTCCCCGTGCAAGGCCTGTGACATCCATGCATCTATACGATACTTGTATGCAAGTGTGCACTTCTATCTGATAGTGCATGTCGGTTATCGCTTTCATACACCGAACTTTACTATGGCTGTCACCACTATCATGCTTTTCTGTAGTATACTACAGGATTCACTGTTAAAAGCCTTTGCTATTAATGGGATGAAGACCTCATTTAGAGCTTTGAGAATCTCAGCTCTGTTTGATAATATCTCTGTTCCCTTTTTGTTCTTTTGAGATGTCCCAATACTGGAAACTCATAATAATACTCTCAAAAGGTTAAAAAGGCTTTCCCAGAAATAAATTGATTTCTTATTTGACTTTTACATAGCATTAGAGGATTGAATAAGGAAAATAGTCCCTCAGAGTTTTTGTAACAATATTTATTGTTAACTTTTCTTGAATTTTTATCCATAGGAAAATATTTCTTCTTAAAGTATAATTCATCTACTTTCTTTCTCGTGTTTAAATGAGCACTATTCCAATTCTGGGCCACATCAGCCTGACCGTTACAATTACTTTGACTGGTCTTCTTATCTTTCTGCTTCTTCTGTTTTATATCAGATATTATTGTCTTTTACAATGATAAAAAGTAAAATGTTATTGCTAGAGAGGATGTTGACATCTTGAAACTGCCCTGACAAACAGTATTTCACTGTTGAAAAGTAGAGCTTTAAATCTCCACTTGTCTTCAGAGTCTTGAGTTACTCTGAAGTGATCATAGTCACGCCTCTTGCCAATCTCTGAAGCAGATTCTTGACTCTGCTCCAACAAGTCTGTATGTGCTGCTTATTTTCAGCTTTTGTCTTTTATCTGCCTTTATCCTTTGAATTATGTCTGCTGCATTTTACACCACCATACACTCTTCTCTTTAGAGCCTGACTCAAAAATCTCTGCCAGAGAGCTCTAGAATTGTATTCATGTATTTTGTACTACTGTTCATAAATTCGTGCTTCCAATGGTATTATTTCTGTAATTATATGTGCCCTCTCTTGGGTTTCCAGGCAGGAGCTGTGCTCAGTTTGATTTCTTCTCTTGTTCCCATGACACCTTGAATGAGCCACTCCTGGAAGCCTCCATAATTGTTGGAGACTTTGTATTATTGAAGGCACTCTGGAGCCATCTAATCTGTGCTACAAATGACTGCTCTGTAGTCTTATATAAAACACTGTGTTACCACCCATCTGAGTGTTGCCAGACATATACAAGCTGACCTGAATTTTCCTGTGTGCTGTTGAGAACATCCTGATAATATTATGTAAAACGGTACTTAAATCTGATTACCAACTACTATAGCCATTAAGTTGTTCAATTCTGTTAAGTCTGTTTTAAGGTATGTGTAGTAGTCTACCAGTCTAAATTATGTTTCACGTAGTCAATGTGGTAATACAAATTTTATGGCATTTATGCGTATTTAGTTATCAGTTTAAAAGGAACAAAAACATATTTTCATATGTTAAATTTCTGGGAATTTTTTTATTGTTTTAATGAATCACAAATAATTTTCTACAGTATGCCATTGTAGTTTCTAAATATATCAAAGGAAACTTACATGCTCATATTTTACTTGAAATTTTCCTAGAAAGAGTAATTCATCATCCTCCTGACAGATTGTAGGCAGAAAAGGTCAACACCGCATTATCCTTGGGGTGACTACATATCAGTTTTAGGCAGAAAGAAATCTGCTTAAAAGGCAGTTCAGAGAGTCAGAGTTTAAGGGACACCCGTGTTTGTCACTAGAGCTCCCTGAGAACTGAGCTACAGAAGAGGGACACAAAAGACCTAAACTGGAGAGAGAAGATGTGGAAGCTCTGCTTTCCTGCCGAATACTTTTACCCAGTTTCTAGCAATACTGATGAAGCCTTTTTCGAGGTCGCCTTCCATAACTTCCCACAGGGTGTTGAACACAGGCAAAAAAAAATCCTTTGCTCTCTAATCTCTGCTGCCCTGTAACGGTGCTCTTTGCATTTAGAGCATCCACAGTGACAAACGCAGGCAGAAGCACAGATTTATTTTTACCAAGTCCCAAAAGTGTAGAGAATCATTCAGATTTGAAAGGAGGCAGAGTCTGTCGCTACCCAAGGACAGACTAACCATGCTTTGTTCGGGTCCCTGAGGCCCTGGGGATTTTATTAGAAGTTGAATTAAACCCAACCGTGGGGCTTACTGAAAACAGTGTGGTCCTTTTGTTTCCCTTCCTTACCCCCATCACCTTCCAAGGTACACTTTTTCCATAGAGCCCCGCAAGCGTTATTTTGCATGTTATCTTAAAAACTTTACTTCTCAATAACCAAGAAGCTGTGTTTGATAGTTTTACATAATTTAAAAGGCCTAAAGTCTAATGAATAATGGTGTTAGGACTTGTACCTCCGATTTGTCCTTGCGTGTATGCTGTCTGCCCTGTCTCCAGTCCACTCCCAGAGCTTTGCACTTGAACACCTTTGCAAGTGCGCGACTCGGGAGCATGGAAGACTTGCTCGCTGAATTTGAATCCATGTATATGTGACTTCCTAAACTCTCCTAATTGATGACTATCTTGTAAAAAGATAGTCAGTGCCCTACCCGTGCCAAAAATACCTCTCTTAGAGATACTGTGTATGTTACAGCTAATTTACCATGCTGATCTCTAGAGTCAAACTGCTGAAGTTTGAATTCTGGTCCCATCCCAGATTGCTTCAGCTGTTAAAGGATGGAACTAATCCTGCCTTCCTGTCAGTCATAAGGCTAAAATGTGAACTGTGTACTGTGCCTGGGAGATAGTGCATGAGCAAAGAGTTATTGTTACTCTTTGTGCTTTATTTCCTGAAGGTTCTTTGCAGATGGATTTTAAGCGTAAAGAAGAATTACCGGAAGAACGTTGCCTATCACAATTGGAGGCACGCTTTTAATACAGCTCAGTGCATGTTTGCTGCCTTAAAAGCAGGCAAAATCCAGGTATGTTTTAAAAGCCCCCCATATCTTTACAAAATTTTGTTACATTTCAATAAAACATATAGCATATTCTTTCAAGTTTTTTTTAATATGCACTAGTGGTGAGTGAAAATAACTTACTGCCATTTACATAGTAGATCACAATTTGTTAAAGAAAATAATGTAACAAAATACTTAGTTGCCTTCTTTCACATAAAATACACAAAACATATTTGAAACATTTTAAATAGCTTTGTGTTACACTTGAATAGTCTTTGGGAAAATAAATATTTCCCTCAGAAAATGACAATGCAATGAAAAGAAAATTCCTCATGTTCACCTGCAACCTCTCTATGGTAACATTCTTCCAAACCACCCACGTCCTTTCTTGGCTTCATAGAGAGGCCCAAGGTCCTCTATGGTATTCTCTCTGGATCATTCACACACTTTTACTTTTCAAAGAGAGGGTTTTGTTTTCATATACATTGATCAGAGGCTGTTTAAAAAGAAGATCAGTGCAAAAAACGTTCAAGTAATTCATCCTCTCCAGGCCACATTTTACCCATCTGTCTGTCTTTAGATTCTAACTTCAGTGGTAATCCACTAGTTACCCTAGGTAAGTGATTCCAGGCATCTATTGTGTAACTCTTCAATTCAGAACTTCCCTGCTTTTTTACGACAGTAAATTCTAGAGATGTTATTCTTGATTGCATATCATAACTGACTAGATCCAATAGAAGTGATTGGGCTGGGGGTGCACCTCATTGGTAGAGTGCTTGCCTAGCCTGTGCAAAGCCCTGGGGTCAGTCACCTTCCATCATCAAAGTAAAAACAATTGTCTGAAAATCCATATGAAACAACCATGGCAAACAGTGCCTAGCAAACACTGGTAAGAAATAGATTAACCTTATTTGGAGTGTGCAGAGGTTCTGAGGATTATCACTGTGAAAAATTTACCTTGGTTTTTATGACAAATAATAAAAATCCTATTTATAGTGTGGAGAATCCCAGCAGAATAGAGCTGACATGATGATTTAACTTACATTTTTTTAACCAATGAGGTGGAACAAATACAGATAACACAAAGGCAGATATTAACACATAACCTATATTTGGTCTGGGCAGGCATAATGCAACTTTTGAAAGCCAAACTTTTATTCTTAATCATCTTTGTTTTGTGTAATAATCTCATCATCTATGTACCTTGAAGATACAACAGCTCACAGCAGATAGAAAAACAAACTATAGGGAACCAAAAGAGAAAAAGTAATTATTTAAAGCTGATTATGTTTCTTCCACATGTGTATAACTAAGAATTAGTGATATTGGGGCTGGTGATGTAGCTCAGTGGTAGAGCACTTGGCTAGCACATGTGAGGACCAGGGTTTAATCGCCAGCATGGAAAAAATATATTGTGGTTTTACTTTAAGTAGACAGATTATTCTTTATGAGGCATTTTGGCTTTTTCTGTTGATAAGTGACATTTGCAATAATCATATTGTGAATGACAAGGTACAGCTGATTCCCTACAGTATAGTCAAGGGTGCATACACAGAGAACTACATAAAGCTTTGAGACAAACAAAAATAGATTGTTGAATGAAAAATAGTAAAATGCCCTTTGTCAAAGTGTACCTTTTTCTGTCCCCCAATGCCTCTGACCATATAGAGCAAGCTGACGGACCTGGAGATACTTGCATTGCTGATTGCCGCGCTCAGCCACGATTTGGATCACCGTGGTGTGAACAACTCATACATCCAGCGGTAAGATGGCTTACTCAGCAAAACAAGGAAATGCTTCCTTTAAATTGTAGGCCTGTGTTTTTTAAATAAAAGCCACAGGGGGGGAAAATTGATGGTTCAAAATTTCAGTTGATCAAGTTCCCATAATTACTCTGATTATATTTAATAGAAATGGAAAAAGTAATGTAAGTCTAATAATGTTACTCATGTTTCAGGCCTGAAGGTAAAAAATAAATACTTAAAAGAATTTAAAAGCTTCTTTAGAAAATTAAGACTCATTCAGAATTTCACCTTGAGATAGAAAAGATAGTATTTAAGAATTGCTTAGTGCAGCCCAGCTTACTGGGTAAAAGTTTGGTGGAAAGAGGTTTGGGGTCGTAGTGGAGACCCTAGAGCTCAGTAGTGAAAAATTCAGGCTTTGTAGTCCGTCTTAGATTCAAACCCCAGCTCTGCCACACATTTCCTGGTTGCTCTTGGGCAAGGGTGCTAACTTCTGTACTTCTTAATTTTCTGATCTGTAAATTGGAGTAATTGCAGCCGGCAGAAGCTTAATAAGAGGGTTGCCATAAGTCTAAGGCTGGCCTGGACTTCATAGTGAGGTCCTGTCAAAAGAAAAGAAAAGGAAAAGGGGATGCTAGCCTGCCCGCTTCCTAGGTTGGTATAAATATTAGGAAAACACGATACCAAGCAGAAGGCTCAGAGCGTACTGTGTTAAATCCTAGCAACTGGTACTGCAGATGATTGTGTCACTGTCGTTTGCAGAGTTTGAGAGTCAATACTAACCTTAGGACAAGAGTTTCGAACTGCAAGGGCCACACTTAAGTGGCATTTGTGATGACACCTGATTTGATAAGGTGATATTACTTTTCCTCAAAACTTTGATCCACCGTGACATTTTTAATGCCTTGCAGCAATGTGGTTAGAAAGTCTCCATTAGAATGGTGAAATTGCTTCCTAGTGAACATATTTTTAAAAATATGCAAGTGATTCAATTAGTAGATAGATCTCTTAAGGAAACTCCAAGTGGCTGATATCTTGAGGACATTTCAGAAAGCTCTCTAATCACAGTGCCTTTATCTAAATAAACAGAAAACTTCATGTAAAAAGAATTGTAGTAATGTAACAACTATGTCCTCTGCTGACCTTTGATGGGAAAAGATAGCTCTTGCCCAGCTACCCCAGTCTGATTATTTCCTCTTGAAAGCCTAAATGTTTTGAAGAACTGACTGGTGACATGTCCTTTGTCATGTGATTGTGATCCTGAGCCTCACATGAGCACTGAGTCATTATGGAAGGGAACATTATATACAAAGATTGCATACGTAGTCAAGTAACATAATCATCATGACCTAAAGACCAGAATGGGCTGGCACTGTGACCCTCCATGGCTTAAAACCAAACCCCATATTCTTAGTAGATGGACTGTTCGTGTGTAGATTGCTCCACGATGCTGTGTTGCTCTGTATATAGTGAAGAAGAAAGAAAAACAACACTTGACTATTTTTTCCTTTGTTTATTTAAAAATAATTACCCGGAAAAAACATCTGGAAAAACGTCATCTTCTCTCTTAAAAGAAAAAAAGTCCTGGGAAAAAGTCATACATTGCCGGATCTTGCTTTCACACACCACAAAGCAGACTTCAGCCAAGTAATAATAACTTTTAAATGAAAATTAAAGTGGTTTTGGAGACTTATATCTTCCTACATCCCTGTGGGTTGTGTTAAAGGAACCAAAATTTTTTCTCCAGTGATTTTTAAAAATTTTCCTTACTGGTAAATGAATGGTGACTTGCTGCAGGATTTTTTTTAGCCAGAGGATTCTTGAGAGACTGGAAGTGCCATAAACATCCCCATATTAACACTATCATCTATAAAAGGCACTGTGTTCAGACTTCATCAGATGTTTAAACTAATACACAAAGAAAGTAAATTTAAATATGATGATGGTTAGCCTGATTAGTGGCAGATGGCTCACGGTGACTAAAGATGAAATGTCAGAGGATGGACAATAGAAATGATAAGACCTTGTAGATGGAGGGCTGTAAGACAAAATAGTGCATTTCACACTCGATACAATATAAACCGAGGAACCACTGCCATAGGTCGTAAAGACCTTGCTTAGGAAGAAAGCTGAAAATTAAACTACAAGGTAATCAGGTAGAAATTAAAACCACCCAGCTCGATCACAAATCTTTTATAGCAAGCCACGTGACAGACAAAAGGAGAAAAGAGAGATAAAATTGTTAACCAGAAGAGCTTATTATAACATGAAGGAAGAAGAAAAATCATGACTTCTAGTCCAAGGACATAGCTCAGTGATGGTGCTGTCAGTGAAAGTTTCCACTTTCACTGAGCAGGGGACTCAGGCCTGCTTGTGTTGGGAGAGAGCAAAGAGGGGCCAGGATGGCAGACAGAGGCGCTTTAGCGGGGTGGGGGTGAGGGGAGACAGTGAATGGGTTGGCAGGCAGAGAGGTTAAATCATCCAGTGAATGTTTCTTTCAAGATGTGTAGTGGCATCAAACTAGAAAAACTATATTTGCACAATCAGGCTATGGACGTTTGTCCAGGCTGGGCTCGCTCTGTGAACAGTTTTCTCTGTACAGTCTTGATAAAGGAGCAGGAAGGTGTGGGCACTGTGGATCGGGGGTCCGCAGCATCTGAGAGACTTACAAGGGGACTAATGAGAGCTGACAAGCAAAGCTTGCAGAGTTCAAACTATGTAGAGTCCATTTTTTCAAGGAATGAGCCAAGTTCTGAGGTCTTGAGAAACTGGATATCTGAATAGGAATAAAATCCAAGTTCCAAGCCAGGCATGAGCCTGCAGTCCCGGCTATGTAGAAGGCTAAGGCAGGACAATGGCAGTGAGTGACACTCAGTCTTAAAAAATAAACAAGGCTGGGACTCTAGCTGAGTAGGGAGCACCTGCCTCGCATGCATGAAGCCTTAGGTTCAGTACCCAGTGGTGGGGGCAAGGAGAGGGTGCAAGTGTAATTATTCAGACTGTCAGTAGTAGTAGTAGTAACAGACACTTGTCCTAAATACAGCCCTCCTCATGTGACACTTGGAACTCTTTAGTCCTTGTACTGTGCTGTCTGGGGTGTTTCTGAGGGGTGGAGGTTGGTTTGCATCTGATGCCTTCTTCAAAGTCAATCCCTCTCCCCTCCTGTGACCTCACACAAGTCATCTAGCCTCTGTCCCTGTTCCTTTCTCTGTGTAGTGAGAGTCCCTATCTCAGGTTATTTGTTAGAATTAAAGGAGTACAAGCAAATGTGAAATACTTGGAACACTTAAATACTCTTCGGAGTTTAACTATTTTCATGGGAGATGCTTGTGATGACAGATGGGTCTTCAGGGCACTGTCTTGTGCCATTGCAGATTAAGGCAGATATCTGAGCATAGGGTAACATATATGGGTGAGAAGCAGTATCACAGTGTTAGTGTTGGTGAAGGGGGAAGATCGGAGTGGCAGCATTGTTTTTTCACAGGGCTTTCATTTTTTTTAGTCAATATCCAAGCCTTTCTGTTTCCGGAATACTGATCTGGTTTCTGTATGGGTATCCTAACGCTATTCTTAGAGGTGGGCCAATGCTCTATAGGATGGAGGTAAATGGACAGTGTGCCGATACATTAACACTGTTTCATATCAGTGGGAATAAAATCCCATAACAGAAGTGGCTTAAATAGATCTCTCTGGCACCGCCTCAAATAGAGAGGCAATGCAGGCTTGTGTTTGAAAGAGTGAAAAGCAATAGGATGTTGGGTACATTGTTTGCATGCCTATTTTTTTGTAAACAGGAAATCTGAGGCATTTGTCAGCCTTTTGTTGTTTCGTAAATCTTTATTTTTAGAATGCAAGTAAAGGGAAACACAATACGCATCTGTCTGTCTCACAAGCCAAGAATTTTCTCTAATGTGAAACAGTCCTGTCTGCACCGTCCTAAAAACGTACTGTACATCTGAAGTTCTAACTTGTTTGTGTAATAGCCACCTAATTGCATTTCCTAGTCTGGCTGCTAACTAGGTCACTGAGTGGATGCTGTGTGCAAAGCGCTGCGATCCTGTGGTGCAGGGAAGACGATGTATTTAAATCCCAGCTGTGCCACTGATACCAACCTTGAGCAGTGTGGATAATCTATCTGAATCTGCAGTCATCTAAAAACTACAGAAATACCCATTTTAGAGAGATGTCAGACTTGGTTATCTGAAGACACAGCTTGAAACCAAAGTTGCTGTAATGTAGCTTGCTTATTTGTGAACGTGATGCCAGGGAACAGGCCTGGCAATGAGAGAGAAAGGGGGAATGCCCATAGAAGCATGAGATACCCAGATGTCCACCCGTACAAGCAACTGGTGCCATCTCTGCGGGGTGCTTGTGGTGATTCTTATGAGACCTAGATATGTTAACCTGCAAGAGAAGAGGCAGCCTCCCCAGAGGCCCCCATGCCCCATTAGTCACAGGTGACCTCAATGCCCCCTCAGTCTTGGGGTGACCAGGTGTGAGTGCAGAGAGCCCTGGGGTGCCAGCTGTGGGTTAGTGAGCTCCAGGACTGGCCTGGGAGGTACAACAGTGATCCCGGCAAGGTGCCTTCTGATGAGTACCTGCATGAAGCTTTTAAAGTGAGTATTAAACTGAAAACTTAATCAGTAACTGAAGCAAAAGCTGCGAATGAGGGTTCTGATGTGACCAATGGAAGTGTCCTCTATGGAACAATTGTAAAAAATTAAATATAATAAATTACCTAATGAAGTGACTGCCGTGGTGGCAAACTTGTGGCATGCATGTCTCAGTGGGCTGTTTGTATTACTGAAAATGCTAAAAGATTGGTCGTCACTGTCATAGACCCTCAGTACATGGAAACTTTTACCAGCAGGGAAAACAAATGTCAACAAATTCAAGAGAATTTGAGCAGCATCACAGCCAGGTGACAGGCTTATCAGCAGCTATCACTTGGCAGAACAAAGTTGTTTGATGTTGAACTAATTGTGTGTCCTTCACTTCTCACATAAATGAAAATAGCAGACACCTAAAAGATTTTCTTTTTATTCTAAGTAAAGGAAATGGGGAAAGTGGCAATTGTCATACTAGAGTGGACTTTAACACAGCCCTTCTGAGTGATGAGGCAATAGCATTGCTAAAATACTGACCAGTAAGTAAAAGTCGGATTCAAAGGGGACATCGTGGATTCTGTTTGTGGGGGCCGGTGCTGTCATTCCAGGCCGTGTCCCAGGCTCAGCTCTCCTGGGACCATCACTGCACTGCGATCACCCCCTGTACTGTGGTGCTTGACAAACTCACATCCCCACCCCAGACCCACGTTCAGCATTTGTCCACTGGGGCATTTCTCAGGCTCCGTAAGAGCAAAGCATCCCTCTCCCCATCCTCTGTCTGTGATCATCTTTCATTTTCCTGTGTCAGGGAGATCCTCATCTCTAGGGCTGCACAAGAAGTTTAGCATCCATTCCTTTTCCCTTCGTCTCCCTCATCCCTCGCCCAGCCTGGAGTCATTGCCAGCACCTACCCAGTCTCCCTCCTGAATGGTCCTCAGAAAACTCCTCTCCATCCAGGCTCCTTTAGGGTACTAGAAGCTTCCCAGTGGCCTTATAATGACCTCGTAGTAGGCCGTATATCAACAGTCTTATTTCCAACAGGTTCTTGCTTTTCTCAGATCTGATCAGTTACTCCAGTTTTCCAGGCTACCAACAAGGAGTGTTATATCCGATCCACAGAACAGCTCATTCAGGTGGAAAGAGGGACAGCAGGCAGGAGTTACTCAGGGCAGAAAGTCAACAAGAGAGGTGATCACTTAAATGGTGCAATAGGTGACAGTACCCATTCCCTGTCCTGTATTTTTATCGCACTGCTTTTTTTTCCTGAGCTCTCTCACTCTGCATTGCTTCCTCCTTGGGTAGCTTCCTTGTCCTCAACAACAGCCTCTCATTTACAAATCAAATGCAGAGTAAAACAGTGATTGTGGTAGTCATCAAATACTTTAGTGGGCGCTTTGCAATTTGTACACCCTCTTCTGTGTAAATTTGAAAGGGAGACTTTCAGAAACTTTTTCTTTTGAAGAATAGTGCATATGGGCTGGGGATTTAGCTCAGCCGCATAAGCACCTGCCTTGCAAGCAGGCAGTCGTAAGTTCGATCCCTGGTACCGATAAAAAGTTTAAAAAAAAAAAAGAGCAAGAATAGTGCATACGGCTTGAGAGTCATATGTGAAGAGTCATGAGGACTGTGAAACGGAAGGCTGTGTCTGTCATGCCTTAGCACTTGATTTGTGAGTGTTCTGTGCCTAGTAAACTGAGAATAAGATACCTCTGCCCCTCTGGACTCAGGTTCCCCAAGTTCTTATCAGGGAGCTCACAGGGTATCCCACACTGGAGTCCTTACACAGAGGACTTTCTGACTCAGGGGTCTCCTTTCTCCTTCCAAGGAGTCTAAGTACTTACTGTTCTCCTTGCTGTCATTATGCGTGTTCCAGTTAATTCCATCTCACTCTTCTGTGTGTAGATGAGTAAGCTGGCCCTCCTCCAGAAGTAATTTCAAAGGAAAAACCACTGGGAGGAGAGGGACAAGGAGATAGCCCTTTCCAGGCCACGCCCCCAGGTCACGTCCTCCAACCAGCTTCCACCTTTCATCCCATTTAACAGTATCCTGCTCTGTGGACTAACCTTCCAGGATCCAGTCACCTTCAAAGGGCCCCACCTATGCGCTCATGAGGCTTTGGGGTGACATCTAGGCATAAACCGTAACACACATAATACAGTACAGAGGACTTTTTTCACATTTAGGAAAATTAGCTTTGTCCTCATACTTCTTTTTTTGTTTTTTTGTCTTTTTCGTTTTTTATCAGTACCAGGGATCGAACTCACGATTGCCTGCTTGCAAGGCAGGCGCTTATGCTGCTGAGCTAAATCCCCAGCCCCTTGTCCTCATACTTTACATCTACTATTTCTTTCAGTATTAAAACCAGTGAAATTATTCATACTGTAAACAGGCAGCAGTTATCAGTAGTTGAAAATAGTTTGATTCATTTTTTGTTTCTCAGAGATGACCTCCCTTTTTTCTCAGCAGGACAGATAATTGTTTGATGTGGTAAATTAATTGATAAACTGATGTACTTAAGGAAATGATTTCATTGTTTTTCTTCAACAAAATATTTTTTAGAAGTGAACATCCCCTTGCTCAACTCTACTGCCATTCCATCATGGAGCACCACCACTTTGACCAGTGCTTGATGATCCTTAATAGTCCAGTAAGTACCTAATTTATTGTTGGGGAATTTTCAAGGAGAGCTCTATAAATTCAGTTTTATTTTTGGGTTTTGGACTTATTCCCAGCATCATAAATCCTTGAACATACTCTATTCCTTTTTGGGTAAGGAAGGCAAAGCCAAAACATTTGAAATTCTCCCTGCCTCACTTCTCTAGACAACCAAAACTGTCAAAACGGTGCCAATCAATCAGGGAAATTTGGTCATTCTGATTGGTTACTCCAAATAACATTGGTATTTAGTGAGTACTTGGTTAAGTATGCTTTTTTTCTTTTAATCAGATGAAGTGACTTACACAACTCAGAGTCTGTTTTCACAAAGCAATGTTTTCCTCTTTAATTTTTGTTGATCTCTGTTGCTATTATTTTAAATTCGTTTGCAGTACTGGCAATTTAGCCTGAGGCTTTGCACCTGTTAGGCAAACAGTCTACCACTGAACTACATTTCCAGCTCTCTACCATTGAAATTTCTAATCATTAACAAACATTTATTAAGGAATATAGCTCTTTGATAACTTGGCTAAATTTAGTATATTTATCAGTGTAAGAAAACATATGATATGATATGATAAATATGCTGGTATTGAGGAAAATAAGATTAAAATAATATACACCAAGATAATTAACAATGGTTTTGTGTAGTGAAATTATTAATTTTTATTATTGGGGAGGAGTTTATTGCATTATTTGTTGTACAGAATTATTACCTTTATGGTAATAAAAATGAAAATTGTTAACCATTGCATTGAATAAGCACAGTGTGTGATGTGTAATCATAAAACAATTTTATTAACATATCTTTAACTTTGCGCAGGGGGTTAGTTGTTCCCTGAGCCTGAAAAGAAAAGTCAGAGAGTCACATGGCTTTTTTTGGTCCTGGTTTTATAAGGACAAGCCCTCTAGTTACTTTAGGTTGTAATATACAGTATACAGCTCTGAGTTCAGAAACGGAAGTGTCCAGTCCTGGGTAATTGTTCAGCATCAGAGCTTGATTTAAAAGTGTCGGGTTCTTGTTCCTTACCTTGTGTTTCTTCTCCCTCCAACCACACTTCCAAGCCTCCCTGTAATTTCCTCTCCCTCAAGACCTGGAGAATGTGAGGCAAAAAATAGGTGAAGGTAGGGGCCCAGGTAACCTAGCAGGCGGGCTGTGTCACCTGTCTCACTTTGTGCCCGGATGGGTGGCACCCCTTGAGGGGCACCCCGAATAAGCACAGAGTGGCTAGCAAGCCTGGACCTTGCCATTTAGACTTCCCAGTCAGGGCCACACACAAAAGTACCCCAGTCCCCCCTTCACCTGTGCACTGCGGGAGACACAGGGACCGCTGGGCCTCTCGCTTAAGGTGATGGACACACTCACCGCTTCTGGCATACTTCACGGGGGCTGCAGCGGCAGCCTCCTGAGAAAGTCTGCGGGTGCCTTGATATAGCTGCCTGGCGTGAGTTGTGAGTGTTTGGCATGGATTCATGGCTGTGTGATTGGTAAGTAGAGCAGTGAGGTCTGTGTGCTACAGAAGTTGTATCATCCCATATACAGATTGTCAGGGGAATGAGGAACCAGAAGGGTGGCGGTTATATTTTGACCTTTAGCCCAAAAAAATTTTTAAAAAAGAAAGAAAGAAAAAAAAGGAAAAGTTCCACTTAACCTGAGCGCATGTAACCTTTTCCATTCTGATAGTAAAATGGCCCCTTGTACCCAGAACGGGGCTTTTGGGGGGCTTTCCCCCTTTGGGGGGGCTCTTGGCATTTGCTTGTCCTTCTGTGTGCACGTGCACAGCAGCCCCCAGGCTCAGTGATCCCACCCCGTCGGGATCGTCCCAGGGCTCTGTGATCCAGCACTTCTGCTGTGCTCAGTTGAGTGCTCGAGGTGTGTGTGTGTGTGTGTGTGTGTGTGTGTGTGTGTGTGTGTGTTTCACTATCCTGCTAGGCAGCCTGCAGAGCCAGCAGACAAAGGCACCTGCTTGTGGATCCAGTTCCTGCTCTGGTTACAGACTTGCTTAGGTTCTAATGGGTCTATCCCTACACTGTTTTTCCCGCAAACCGTGTTCTTTTTAGTGTGCAATTTTTCAAAGCTGAAACTTTGCAAAAATGTGTATGTTGTATTTTAGTAGAAGCTTCTATACTTGCTTGGAACTTGCTGTTAGTCTACTTCAGCTAGGACTGTCATTTTAATATCCTATTACATCAGTTACAAAAGTAAGAAAGTGTGCTGCCCTTTTTTAAAGTATAGGTAGTAACATTCCTGTTGTAGTTACTGTGTCTGTGTATATGTGATCTTGGGGATTGAACCCAGGGCTACTCTACACCAAACTACCTTGCCATTTCTTTTGTCTTTTTTGGTTTTTTTAATTTTTTGTTTTTTTGTGGGGATTTCTGAAACAGAGCCTCATTAAGTTATCGGGCTGACCTCAAACTTTCAGTCCTCCTGTCTGAGGAAAGTATCTTGGATCACCGAGGGGCACCATCACCCCCAGTGTATGGCTTGTGTTTAGAGGTCTCCTGAAAGCCTGATGTAGTCATAGGTGGGCCTTTTTAGGGCTGACAGGATCTAGAGTTTGTGATGCTGGAATTAATTCATAGTGCACTGCTAGGATGCAGAGCTCTAGGGTAAGGGTGCGAGTGCCACCTGCCCTTAGCAGCTTGGATGCCAGAAGAGGGATAGAAAGAGCTGTGGTTGCCCCTTGCTTGCTTTGGTACCTTGTGCACCATGGACTGTTTCTCGAACTCTGCCAGAGCCTGTTTGCCACACCACCCTGCCTTGGAACCAGCCAGTTATGGACTGAAACCTCTAAAAACTGAGCTAACGAAACCTTTCCTCCCTTAATTTGTGGGTGTCTGGTATTTTGTCTCAACAATGAGAGAAAAGTAACCACAACCCCAACTTCATAGTTACTTCTTTTATGTAGTTATTTTTAAACAAATCCAGTTGTATGAATGGCTGGTTCATGTGATTAGAGCTGTCTGTATATATTCTCTCTTTGTAAGCACAATGACAGGAAAAAAAATTTACTACCTTTGCATTTGGGAAGAAAAATAAGACCATAACACCAAAAGACATACCATTTTCTGTGTGACATTTTTTATCTTAAATAAAAGTGTTAGAAGTTTTCTGAATAGTTTTCAGTTGGACTCGAATCTAAAATGTTTTAATATTTTAAATGTCTTTGGTTGCAATCACACACCTGTATCATTAATTAGGTCCATGCCACAAATGCAGCATGGGGGTGATCCTCTAACTAGTGTGTTCTGGTCCCCGCCCAGCAGTTCCCCCATCTCACAACAGATCCTTTGCCTCCAGATCTTATTCCTAAGCCTCTGGGCTTTTTCTTGGCTCTGTGACTTATGAAGTACATCTGGCTCAGCTTACAGATGTTCTGTATGTACTCTTGGGTGCCCAGCTCTGTGTTTCACTTAGTTCAAGATTAGAGACCTCTTCTGATTTAAATTATAGGCAAGAAATAAAAAGTGATCAAGTAGCGAAAACTTTATGATGTACACATGGATCAGGCCCCTTTTACATGTTCCTTGTAGATGGTGCAGCCCATTCTTTCTTTCTTTTTTAGGTTTATTTTATTGGTCCGTGTTAGATACACGGTGACCACAGGGAATTTGCACCTGTCTTGCTTCTTTTTCCCACCGTCTTCTGCCCCCCCTTCAGCCCTTCCTCCCCTCCTTATTCACAAAGCTTTGTTCCGTTTTTTTCCTTCTAGTCTTTTTTCTCTTGTCCCTTCTTTCCTGTCCTCCTCCTCCCTCCCTTGCTCTCCTTCCCATTTGAACATCTTCCCATTTCCCAGGATCTGTTACACATTTTGGTTATGCTTTTACACTTCCCGTTTCTCACACCAGAGAAGCCATGCAATATTTGATCGCGCGTGTCTTCACTTGGGAGCATCATCTCGAAGCTCTTATATCACCAGCCGGCTCTATTTTTGTATTCCAGAGGAGCACATGTGGTTCTCAGAGTTGACTAAGACCTGTAAATCTGCACCAGAAATGTGACTGGGTTTATTACAAAAGCCATAATCACTTATACTAGCCAGTTATTTAAAAATTTCACAATTCTGTTCTATGCATCTATTAATATGGCTTCGATTTTTCAAAGTTTTGCTTGCTCTTAGATTACAGGAATTAATCTTTCCAATGGAAAGGATATGAAGCTGTTGGGTCTTTTGTCAGGATAAGCCTCAAGCAGTAGAAAAGTCGGACAGACGTGCACGTGTAGGCCTGCTGTCTTTTTTTCTTAGATGTCAGGGTGTGGACTGAGCATGTGGTGGGAACTATGACTCAATTTCCTGCTATTTAAGTAAGCAACTATCCTCCGTATTCATGAGCGCAGAATATTAGGCATGTGTTTAAGATGTGACTATATTTCCAGTTTGTTCTTGCCCACAGCTTCTCCTGGTGGAGTGCTAATTTTTCTTTCTTTCTTCTTTTTTTTTTAAATTTTATTTTATAAAGGGCAATCAGATTCTCAGTGGCCTCTCCATTGAAGAATACAAGACCACACTGAAAATAATCAAGCAAGCTATTTTAGCTACCGACCTAGCACTGTATATTAAGTAAGTTTTAAGAAATATCCTCCAAAATAAGTCTTGGAAGGATTTGCGCTGGCTCAAGCTTTCAACATCCACGCTGGGAAGTCCTCATCACAAAAACAAACATCCTGACAGAGCCGTTTATCAGTCTGTGCGGCAGTTTCTTAAAGGCAGCCAGAGAAGTCTGCTCTGTTGGCTTAGTTACGGCTCAGAAATGCAGGAAACATGGTTACTAATGTTGATCTACTCCTACGTCTCTGGCGCTGTGCTCACATCGAATATTCACCTCGAGCTCTGTCACGCCAGCGAGGCCGATCTAAAGATGACAGAAGCCACTTGCCATTGGTTCCTCCCTTCCCTCACTCACCCCCAGCCTCCGTCCCTCTCACATTTTACACTGTCATCGCAGCTAGGTGGGCAGTTAAAGAAACCAAATGCCAACAAAAGCAATTCTTAGTTATCTTTATTTGATTCTAGCAGAAGAACATTAACATAGAAATTTGAAGTGACTAGCTCTAAAATAAGACTGTGTTTAAGAGTGGTGTTTGTGACTATGTATTTCCATGATTAAGCTACTTTTCTAAAAGCTAAAAAATACTTCCCTGCATGTGAGCAATCAGAGATCTTTAATGCATGTGCGGCTGTTGCAGAAGCCAGAGTCACACTCTCACGATGCCCGTGTAACACACCCGCTCCCCACCCACCCACAGAACGGTTCCCAGCCATGGTTTGCTCCCCTCTTAAGAGGAGCAAAAAACAGTAGAACAAACACAAGAAAACTTGCATCGGCCATCTACTGTTATATGTTGAAAAACAGCTGTTTGATGGCTTGTGGAGTGTTGGAGCACTTTAATTAAAACAAAAGAAAATATAGTAAACTATAGTTTATTCAAAATAATGACAGAATAAGGATTATCAGATTACCAAGAATTTAAAAATATCTGTAATCACGCCTTTCCAGTCTGTGGGTGACGTGGGTCTCTCCTCTGATCCTGTATGACGCTTGCTTGTCATGTTTGATATTTAATACTAGACGGCTTTATTACACGAGGTTTTTTTTTCCTTGAGACTTTTGTCTGGTAAGATGTGAGAATAATTCTTACGACTTCTCAAAACAATGCTGGACACATGGGAAGTACTTACTATACTCTGAGTTATTATATTCACTGAATAATAACGAATGATATTTTACATTTATAGTGTTTTTTTACCTCAGTTCCCCTCACAACTTTTTTTATTGTCCTTTTTACCCTGTGACATACTATACATGAATAAAATATGTGATGCTAAGCTAAAGCCTGTAGATCTTAATATGCCGTGAACTTAAAATATTTTAAATCATTTGACACATTTATAACCTTCTAAATTAAAACTATTTCAGCTTTTAAAAAATAATAAAAATATTCCAAATTTGAAATTATCCTTATTTGTGATCTGCAATTAAAATTAGGTGAGGTTTCATGCTCTACATTCAGAAGAGGAAAAGAGGTATGAAATGTTTTTAAATGGTGGCCTTCATGCTGGGTTCTTAGATGAGGGAAAACATAGAGTTGGCAAAAAATCAGAGTTTTTTTAATAACTTATTCCATGAATCTTGTAGACCAAAGGGGTGAAAGCCTGTGAATGCATCATAACTACCAAATATTTTTCTTTATTTTCAAGGAGACGAGGAGAATTTTTTGAACTTATAAGAAAAAATCAATTCGATTTGGAAGATCCTCATCAAAAGGAATTATTTTTGTAAGTCAATTTACTATCTTCACAAGTTAACTATTGCAGGTTACAAACTAACTGCTACTCAATTAATTTTTTCACTGCCAGTTTTTATGGTAGTTGTTTGTTACCATGTGATGATCTGTGAGGCGCTCAGATCTCTGGCATATTACACAAAGGAATGAATAGGAGCAGATACTTGAAAAGAAATGCACTTGTGAATTCAAGTGAATACATTGTTTCTTTGCTCCAGAGGGACCTCTCAAATGTAACAGGGGTAGAGCATCAGCCCAGAGCCTGGGTTTCCCTTTGCTTCATTTCTCTGGTGCTGTGGACTGGAAGAGCAGGAGGTGGCTGCCTTTAGATGGCTGGAGCAGGGGACTGGCTTAGGGGGCTCGCTGCTCTCAAATGATGATGACCGCCGCGTAGGGCGGTGAGAACTGGGGACATCAAGACCTCTGCTCTTCCCCTCAGTTCACCTGCCCCCTCCTGCTAGTTCTTTGCCATCATTGTTACTTCCTGGCAAGAATTACGAGCCAGTAATGAAGAAAAGACAGCAGCCAAGTGCGCTGGTCACACCTGCAACCCCAGGCCGGTAGGCTGAGGCAGAAGGGTCATCGTGGGTTTGAGGCCAGCCTGGGTGGTTTAAGGAACCCCTGTCACAAAAAAAATTTTAAGAAGGATACAGAGAGAGAGAAACTAGCCGTGCTAGGGGTACTGCTGATACAATTTTGAAATCAACATTTCTTTAAACAGATTGAGATTACTTAGCGTGCAAAGAAAGATGCAAATTAGAAAGAAACAATATACAAATGGCCAGCTGTGCATTCTGGGTAGTTAGACTTGTTTTTCAGAACAGAAAAGTGCAGGCGTGCTACCGCAATTAGTGCCCAGTTTTTCTCACTAATTAAAAAGAAATGTGAACTCCAAGAGTGCCGGTTCCCTGCTGTGCTCATCTAGGGTTGCTGTGACTCCCCCAAAAGCGTCTGGCCGCCCTGGCTCTCAGCATCCCCACAGGCCCCTTCATCCTGGGCGTCGTAGCTAAGCTCATTTAGCTGTACAGCCCTCCTCTGCGGAGGAAGTTTGCATTGGCGGGTGTTACTGCAGTGGGTTCCAACAGTGATGACAGATTCCTGCGGGGCGCTCCCTTCTGAGTGTCCATGTAAGATACTGAGCAGCAGGCCAGTATGCCAAGTAGCAAGAGTGTCCTTTAGGTTGGGTTTCACTAGACAAATGATGCTCTGCCTTGACTTTTTCTCTTTTATAGGAATGGCCTTTTTGTCTATTTCTTCAAACAAAGGGATTATTTGGCAGACACTTGAATGTGAAATGAGAGATTCGGGTACCAAAGACAACCATTTTCACGCAGTGGCTGTGGCCCCCAGAGCACCTGGTTAGCACACCAGGAATGCTGTGGCTTGCGCATCTCTAGCCCGGGAAGGACTGACAACATGTTCATTTCTCCCTTTATCTGGTGGAGAAAAGGGGATTGTCTCTAGCATACTTTAATCATGCAAAGACTTTTCGCGTAGAAGGTTCTACACAGTTGCGAGTTAGGATGACCTACTGTGATTTCTGATTGAGGACTCCTGTCAGGAAGCTGATAGGGTCCCCTGGTGACTAATTACCAACAATCACAGTGCTTTCCTCATCTGCCACTGAGAATAGCTACCGCACTGAAAGAAGTAACAGTAACAGGCAAGTTTCTTTCTCTTTGTGTCAACCTGGACGCAGAGAGGCACTTGGAGGACAGCTTCCAAGAGCTCACAGACAGAGAGCCAGAACAGTGACACTGTTGTCACCTCCGTATAAATTCTGTCTCTGTTCCTTTGGCCTTCAAGAACTGCTATTCCTGATGGTTGAGAGGGTTCTAATTTTGTGTTTTTATTAACGACCTTTTACTTTTATATATTCACCTAAAAGTAAGTACAAGTTTGATATTTCCTTTTCCTCTTACAGAGCCATGTTGATGACAGCCTGTGATCTTTCTGCAATTACAAAACCTTGGCCAATTCAACAACGGGTATGTTGCTTAGTGATGATCAGTGTAAAACTAAACAGCTAACATAAGAAAAGTCTTTACACTTCAGATAACTTCTGAAGTATTTATGAAACTTTTTCCCTAATCTTAAATACTGTTAAAAGCAGAGTTGGGCATAAAATAGTTGTTCTTTTTAGAAGATTTATTTGCACTTAATACCTGTATGATATGTAAAAAAGAAAAATAGTAACCGGGAAAAGATCTAGCTGTCCTAAGTTTCAATTTCAGTACTGTTCTGGCTCACTCTGGGAAGATTTTTAGCATTTTCCTTTAATCTTGAAAATAAAATTGCAAGAAAATTTTTAAAGCAAGAAAAGAGGAGACCTTGTAGAGTAAAAGATATTTAAGGGGCTGGGGATTTAGCTCAGCGGCATAAGCACCTGCCTTGCAAGGAAGGAAGGAAGGAAGGAAGGAAGGAAAGAAAGAAAGAAAGAAAGAAAGAAAGAAAGAAAGAAAGAAAGAGAGAGAGAAAGAGAGAAAGAAAGAGAGAGAAAGAAAGAAAGAGAGAAAGAAGGAAAGAGAGAAAGAAAGAAAGAAAGAAAGAAAGAAAGAAAGAAAGAAAGAGAAATTTAAAAGACCAGTTGCAGTAAATGTAATTGTTTGATGCTATATTTTTTCACTGCACCTTTTATTAACAGGTACTTAATAAATAAGTCACTGATTATGCATGCAGACAGGCACAGGTTTTCACTTTTGTTGAAATAACATGTTGCTTTTTTTATGCTTAGTTACACAAGATTAGAAACTCTGGTTTCTAATCTTTCTGCCTTAATTAGACATTTAAAACAAATGAAGTATAATTTCCTCTTCTCATTATAGCCTTTAGTCTGATTTTATTGACGTGGTTGCAAGCTGTTGCACGTAATAGATTTTATTATCTTCTTTACAGACCTCTGTTTTAAAGAGCATTAAGCTTTTCCGTCTCAAAACTCAGTCCCCTGTTTATTTCAGATAGCAGAACTCGTAGCAACTGAGTTTTTCGATCAAGGAGACAGAGAAAGAAAAGAACTCAACATAGAGCCCACTGTAAGTATGAGACCTTGTTGGTGGGAATTACTCACCTGAACGTTTTAAAATCGTATTCGTCAGGGGCTGGGGATTTAGCTCAGCGGCATAAGCGCCTGCCTTGCAAGCAGGCAGTCATGAGTTCGATCCCTGGTACCGATGAAAAGGAAAAAGACAAAAAAAATAAAATAAAATAAAAAAATAAAAAATAAAATCGTATTCGTTTTTAGGGTTCTTTGAGATCGCTTCTTGGTCATGAATTTCTCATTTTAGTTTTTAACATTTTCTCTTAGTAGAACTACACAGGTTCATTACAGAAACCAAATGCAAATAAGAGGACAAAAAGGGCGGTTGAAGTCATCATATTATGCCACATTTTTGGATTTTGCATTTTTCATTTCAGTACTATAGGATACTTTTTATTCTAATGGATGGTTTTCTGGGTTTTACTCATCACATTTTGATGAAGTAAATATAGCCATAATTGATCTGCATCTTCTGGTGTAATGTTGTAAGCAATATTCACTATTACAAACGGCACAGTGAAAAACACCTCTGTGGCTAAAGTTTTTTGTTCAATTTTTATTACCTTTTTAGGATAAATTTCTAGAAAGAATTTAAAAGTATTTGATGCATACTCCTTTTTACACAGAATGTAGACTCCCAAATACAAGAAGAAAGATGCTTCTCAAACCTCTTCTGTCTTTTAGAAATGAAACAAGGGTTCCTCCTCCCTTTTTTTTTTCTTTTTCTTGTGGAGGGGTACAGGAGATGCATGTATGTGATTGCTGTCTGACCTTTCTCAGCTAAGCCGTTATCTCGCCTTTTAATTTTTTTATTTATTATACATGTTTGCTGTACATAAGGATTGCACTCATCATGGGAGTTGGTCCTATCCAGAACATAGCTGAATTCTGCTTATTTCCTCTTCCAACATCCCTCATCTCGTTTCCTGTCCCATTAGAGAAGCTGTCTCTCTCCCTCCCTTTTTTGAACCCACCTTCATTGTTCTTTAAGTAAATATACACAAGCTTGTGTGTGTCTTGTGTTTACATTTTCAGGATCTAATGAACAGGGAGAAGAAAAACAAAATCCCGAGTATGCAAGTTGGGTTCATAGATGCCATCTGCTTGCAACTATATGAGGTATTTATTTGAAAGCTTGCTAAACTTAGATTGTGTTGAGAATTAAAACCTGAAGTAAATTCAAGAGATTAAACAGCTAGTTGTATGTCTTACCACTTCGTAGCCTTTTAGCTCAAATCCAGTGTAGCTGTATTTTTGCTTCTAAATCAAGGAAACAGTAAGTAAAATTACTGTAGCTTTTTTTGCGTGTGATGAACATGTTTTCGCTGAACAAGGAATACATTCATGTACTCTCGTTCAGGAGCTTTGTTCTCCCCACAATGCTGACCACAAACCAAACTGGACAAGAACTGAATTAAATTTCCTCAAAAGGTCAACATTGAACCTAACCATTGAATTTAATTCGATTCTCGTCCAACTCAGTTTACAAACAGAAGAGAACTGAGCAAGGTACCACTGTATTTTCTAGTTCTCAAAGACTTTACCTCATTCAGTCTTGGAATATCTATTGAGTGTTTACTATGTGCTGAGCACCAACACATTGATTTTAAGAAGGTAAGAACTATGTGTTCTGCTCTCAAGAAGGTATATTGTAAGATTCTCCAGACTGGTTGTAGGGATGTAGCTCAGTGACACTGTGGAGTGCTTGCCTAGTATGCATGAGGCTCTGCCCTGCAATCACAAAACATTAAACCAGGAAACTTTTTATTAATTTGGAAAAGAACACTTAATCGTGGTGTTGTCATAGAATGTCAAAAAAAAACAAGGTACCTAGAATTTTCTAATTCAGATATTACATAGCGCAGTAACTGGATTTGTTCTGTTCATCTTCTAAGGAAATAGCATTTGCCTCAGATAACAGGGAGCTGGTGGGTGAACCGCTAACCCCAAATCCAGTTCGTACTCTAACCCTGAGTTCTAGCCTTCAGGAGAAATTCATAAAAAAGCTGTAGCTGCAGAGAAACAAGAAAAAGAGTCAAGAGCAAAGGACACACCAGAAGACACAAGGAAGAGGCACTGGCTTCCGCCCTCCCAGCCTTCTACTCCTCTACAGGCTCCCCAGCACGATTTGGAGCAGTCTTTGGCGCCCCTGGCCCGGCTCATTCTTGGCATAACAGATGCTTTCCCTTCCTGTTGGCCAGAGCTCCTGGGCTGAAAATGCTAAAGGCCCTTTGAGTTTTTTCCGTCCCGGTAAAGGCATGCAACTAGTAATCAGATGACCCATTATAGATTTTTCTCCTTCTGTGTTCTCTGTACGCGTAAGGAGTCATTCCATTCCAATCTGATGAACGCGCTGTGACGCTGGTGTGTATTTTTAGTGTTACTATAGAAGTAAATGTTCTCTTTGTAGAAAAACCAGACAGTGCTGAGAAATAAAAGGAGGATAAAATCAATCATGAATTAACATGTGTTTTGATCTTGGATGAAAACCTAAGTGCATTGTATGAAGCCAGTGTGTAGTGAAACACAAAAACACACAAAAAAAGCCCACTGCAGTCACACACAGGGGGAGCCACCTGCACCACATAGACGCAAACGCACTGTTCCCTGAAAAGCAGATTCCACACAGAGCCGTCTTCATGGTTCAGTGACATGCTTAGGAATGTGTGTGCTTGCCCTGTCTCTCAGTGTGTCCTCCTTATTTGTACAGCTTAAGAGGAAACCTTCAGAGAGTGAGCTCTGGTTGTGTTCACACAGCTTGCAAAAGGCCCAGCAGGAGACCTGCTGGTGGAGGATTGTGGAATGGGGCCCTTCTGCACAGGCCTGACAGCAGGCGGATTTCCTGGCTTCTCCCTAGCGTTTCCTCTCTTTTTCTTGCTCTAGGCCCTGACCCACGTATCAGAGGACTGCAAGCCTTTGCTAGATGGCTGCAGGAAGAACAGGCAGAAATGGCAGGCCCTCGCAGAGCAGCAGGAGAAGACCATGGTGAATGGGGAGAACAGCCAGGCCAAGCGGAACTGAGCTGCGGCTAGGTGCAGAGTTGGAGGAGTTTACAGAGGCCGCCTGTCTGCAGTACGCCTGGTTTCACTGTGCACCGTTTAGATTGGGTGTAGACCTTGTCATTGCTGTATTTTTATTTTTGCACAACTCTTGAGAGCATAGCGTGAATGTTTTTAATGGTCAATTACATTGTTTTCTGTACGTTCGTCGTATGCCACTGAAGTGATTCCCCACGCCCATCCTCCTTCACACGTTGATCAGAGCACTGTTTGCCGTATTTGTGTACTACAAAGTGTAAGTGATGTTCTTGCACTGAGGTGGTTTTTTGATTGGGGATTATAGACAACTAGTTTTGTATTTTCTCAGTTACCAATCTTTCAATAATATTTAAAGTCTTTATTTCTGAAAGTAGGTTAGCAGACAATTACATACATTCTGGGACATCTAAAGCCATCATAGGGTAGAATAAACGTCAGCTGAGAAAATTTTAAAGAGAAAAGCATACGTGTGTTGAAAATATCTTAAATTTAGGACACTGAGACCCGCATGGCGGGTACTGAGACAGTGTGGTAGAGAAAACATAGCATGTAACTGGCTCGCTCTTTTTGAAAGAACAATGATGGTGAACCTTTTAGAGCTCTCATGCCACAGGTTTACCAGCACTGCTTTATAGGATGGGTGAAGCCAAAATCAGAGAATTTTGGTGTGTAACCTAAACGCTGGCTCTTAGCTCACAGCCTGTGGAATTGCCTTGCCACAACTGTTAGTAGCTCCCATCTTCTTGGGATTTGACCCCGCGTTCACATTTATTCACTTTGGAGAAGTAGACGGTGAACTGAGCAGCTGGGTTAAGAAAGGAAAGTCATTGCAAATGTGAACAGATGTTCTGATTTGGGGACAACAGGAAGAGAGACTTGATTTGTTAGTTTCCACCTTCCTCCCTTCAGGAAAAAATGGTGTTTGAACCGATTTTCTGTAACTCATTTGTATAGAAAATCTCTAATGCAGCAGCCTCAAAGCCTCATTCCTCTAAAATATGCCTTTCATTTATGTGTTTCCACTTAATCTTGCCTAAACTTCAACATGTTCCAAATTCTGACTGTGTGCATAGATTTTGAAGTTACTTGGCCTAGTTGCATTTCGGTGGCACTGGTGTGTAAATTGCACAGACCCAATAACATGATACCCACTTCCACGTACCGATAAACACCTGTGCATGTGTGCATAACTCCTTAAGAAAAACTGATTACATCACAGCAGTGTTTAATGGAGCTATCTTTTTATCACACACATCGTGATTTAGCAGTTATGTACCAAAATATATGTTCACATACTTCATTAGTGTCTTAGATTCCTCTGATAGTTGTCCTTGAGAATTTTTTAAAAGACGTGGTAGATAGTGTGTGGAGGATGTGGACATGTGTTATTTTAATAGGCAAGCAGATACATTTAGATTAGAAATTGTTTGGTTTGCCTTTAGATAATGGTTTACTTCACTATTTGAGGCATTAAACGATGTTAAGCACTGTCATGCCTATTCTTGGATGTTAGTTTATATAAAAGAATACTTCTTTATGACTGGTTAATGAATTCAAATGATTTTTAACTTGTAAGAAAATCATTCCATATATGCATTACTATCTGTGGTATCTGGGCACAAATCAAAACTTTTGTTCTTGTGTATATCCTTGCCAGAGTCTTCCCAAGTTGGAAAACATTACATAAAGGACTAGCTCGGCCTACCCTATATTGATGTTACCCATAACTAGGAAGAAGTTGTTCTTGTTCTGTATTGTTTGTTCTCTGTTTGGTGGGTTGGTTGGTTGATGGTTGGCTGGGGTTTGATTTTAACAGAGTAACATGGTGCATTTAATTTCAGTTTTCAGCCAGAAGAGTCCTCACTGTTGTACTAATTTGTTGAAAGATGTCTGTAAGATTGCACAACCTTACGTTTTCCGGAGGGCTGGCCCCTGCTGGTCACAGTTCTGTGTGTAAGTCACTTAACCTCTGTGTGCCCAAACAAGTTGTGCTTTTTTAAAAGCAGTTAAGTTTGGGCACATGCTGTTTTGGGGCCGGTGGGGTGGGGGTTGGTTGGCAGCTACTTTGAGAGCCCCAGTGAGCCTTGGAGACACTGTCCGAAATGGGCTATTGAGTGAGAGACGTGGTCTAATCCTGTAGGACCCTTCTCATACCGCATGTCCAAGGCTGACAGAGCAAAGGCAATGCACACTTACTCGGCTCTGTGTACAGATCTCGATCAGTATGAGATTCTGAGCTATGTGAGTGCTTTACCTCACATACAAACCGAGGATGCTGAGGTTGTCACCACTGATCTCTTCGTTATGACGAATGTGTCCCTCACTAGCACCATTAGAGGTAAGAAGGTCCTGCATATGAACATACACTGAAAATATTGGATTCTTAGAAGAAACTGGTCACGGGTAGATTCTTGCCTAGCAATGAAGTGCCTTTATTTTCAAGATACAGGATGATTTGATTTTCAGTGTTCCTTTCTTTTTCACCAGATTGTACTTCGTACTCCTAAATCTTGTCAGTCATCACGAACAATGTGGTGTATGCAGTGTCTTTCAGATAAAAGGGGGGAAGTTTAATTGCTATCCTTTCCTGTAAACAGTTATAATTAAAATAAGCTGACACAGTATGATTAGTCAGTATTAGATACCCATCAGCTCACCTTTTAATGGACCCTTACCACACATTAGGTACTGTTCCAATCCGCGGAGACAGAGAACTCAGTCTGTGCAAGTAGTGCCAGATAAGACATTTCACAGTTTCTGATCTTGCAGACTGAACATGCAAACATGTCACTGTCATTTTCGTCTGTAACATATGTATCGTGTACCTTCCATTAAGAATCTGTCGGTGAGCCCCCTGTCTGGTCAGTGTGAATCACGTTAACCTACTGATAGCTTAAGGAGCACCTTATGTAAGGAGTCATATATTCCATTATTTTTCCCCATGCAGGCCAAGTAGTGATAACTCGGAGTGCTCACGGACTATAAAATTGTGCGGTTTCAGGACCCCTTCTGCTCCACCACAGGGCACGAAGAAGAAAGTATTATAGCTCACTTCATGATTCCCTTTCCTTAAAAAAGCCTGTGTACGTGCGTCTTAATGAATGTTGTTGAAAGCAATGTAAATAGTTGAAAATATAAATTTCTATTACACTTGAAGATATGAACCTTATGAATGAATCATCACTAGCCACTGTTAATATCTATTTGTATTCTTCTTATACCTTTTCAATATTTGAACAAATATATAGTTTCTGGCACTATTTTTATACTAGGATATGGCATTACTATGTATATTATGTTTAGCTTTGACGTCATTTTAAATAATTGTGATGTTGGTTTCTTTCCTTTCCTTTCCCCGACCCTGAGAACCCTTTCAGCTTGACTCTTGCGTGAAAGAATCATTTTACAGGAACACTTGGCTCCCTGCTGCTCCCTGTGATGTCATGAGACAGGCGGGGAGCAAACCCCTCACCTATTCAGTTGTCTCTTTGTTTTGCTATGCTTTGTAAAAATAAAAAGAATGAACAAGTAGATATGAATGTTGTGTGATTATTAGGGAACTTGTATTTTTTTTTTTTTGTCTTGTTCCTTTTTATCGGTACCGGGGATCGAACTCACGACTGCCTGCTTGCAAGGCAGGCGCTTATGCCGCTGAGCTAAATCCCCAGCCATGGGAACTTGTATTTTAAGAGTGCAAATTGAGTGGGGACCTTGGATTATAGGCAGGAAAAATGGGTCCCGTAGTGTGAAACCCTTCAGTCAAGCTCACCTGCAGTCCTGTTAGTAAGGAAAATTGGTTTTATAGAGCCTTGGCTTTCACCTAAAGCCGTCTCAATAATAATCTTCCTTTTCCTAACACCGTTTGCTACCAAGTTGAGGGCTAAATTTTCCAGCCGCTTTCATATTTCAAGTCCATAGCAGCTCTGTGGAGTGTGGTCGTGACCGACCTTTTACTGTGTGAGGCTCTCAGACTTAGGAGTTAGACACTTTGCCAATTGATAGGAACTGGATTGAAGCCCAGATCTGTCTAGTTTCAAAACATGTTAATTCTACTTAGTTGTCTTTTTCAATTTTCAATTTTAAAGGTCCCCCGACCATTCTTACTGAATCAAAGAGCTACCCAAAAGTGTATTAGAGACAATATTTTCCTCTCCCAACAGGCTTTATTTTATTTGAGTTTTATGGTTAAATTGCTTAATTTAGTTGGTCTGTCTCTGGGTTTGGAGGGTAGAGATGTGATTAAATGAAGAATTTCTTAGTTCATTATTTGGTCACTAGATAATTCCTCTTCCTGTGGGGAGAAAATGTGGGTTACACCTTGTGCACAAACCTAGAGGGGAAAAATAGTTATAATTTTCTGACCACCAGGGAGCGCCAGAGTTTCAGTTGTATATAAAGTCATCCTCACTGGCCATAAAGACTTAAAACTGTTTCATAAGCTTTGGAGAGCTAAAGAGAATAAATGAGAAAAAAATCATTAGGAAATTTGAAGTGAGGATTAAAATATGGGAAATGAACTACTTTATACAATTGTTAAGATGTATTTATTACCCTACATTACCCCTAACTCTAACCCTTTTTGTAAAAGTCTTTTAAACTTGATCATGTCCTCAGGATTTTCTCCAAGCAAATTTTGTGATCATGTGAAGTCTCTCCTGCTCAGTGTGCCCTCACAGAATGTCAACCCTTCTGATAGAATCGGGAAGCATCTGACAGCTCTCTGGGGTCCACATTCATACTATCAGCTGTGCTGCCTCTCAGCAGGCTGGGATCCCTGTACTAGACACTTGGAAATGTCAGGATATGATTGTCCGTTTTTAAGGAATATATGTAACATAAAATGATGGATAAACTTAGAACTTGCAGAGAATAATTCACTATCATTTTAAGCGATATTCAATCTGAAGCTCAAAAGAAAAAATTGTTTCTAGTTTCCAAACTATGTGTTCAAAATAAAAACAAGAGTTGTGAAATGGAATTAAAACCATAATTATTTGGACCAAAAGACATTTGACGATTAAATAGCATGCCTGATTTCTCTTTCTGTATTGTCTTAGTCTGTGTGTATGTGTGTACATATGTGTACACACCTATGCAAATGTTTGTGATCACCCTGAAGGGTGGTAAACTGGCTCTTTGGTTATCTAACACCAATCTCTCCAAATGACACAATTCAAGATTCCTTTTTCTGAACTGGAATCAGAGAGAAGTTACCTTGGCTTAAAAAAAAGGCAATAAACTATCATAAGAGTTTTCCACTCTGTTGTACAGTGCATTAATTACCTTAGGAGCCGTATTGCATTTTTCATTCCATATCACTGTTTGCACTTAACCACCAGGCTCTGTATGACCCCAATCAGCATATTCCTGTAAGAAATATGTTTCTCCTTTCAAAGTCAAGAATTCTCGGGGCTCAGTGATCTGCCTGGAGCAAGGAGGGGCAGAAAGCATGATCGACAGCAGCCTGCCTCGGTTCCGGTGCTCTCTCCCCCCAGAGAAGCCGGTGGGAACCACTGCGGGTGTCACGCTGAACCCCTTAAAGTGCGTGGCACACACCTTGGGAAATGGAGGCAGGACCCCAGTGTTATGTTCCTTGAAATCTTTGCTCTCTTTGCCTAATCCTGTTCCTTGGCCTACAGACGAGTTCTTTTGCTGTGATTTAGTTCCAGATTTTTTTCTTTGTCTCTGTTTTTTTGTTTTGCAGCACTGCCTACTGAACCCAGGGCCTTGGCACTGAGCTACATCTCTAGTTCTTTTAGGTTTTGAGACTGGATCTCACTAAATCACTAAGTCGCCCATGCAGAGCTTCAACTTGATCCTCCTGCTTCAGCCTCCCAAAGTGCTGGGATTATCTGTGGTCTACCATATCTGGCTCTTAAAAACACATTTGATTCTTCTGACCCAAAGCAGACCTACCCCGACCACCAAGCCCTTTCAGGCTACCAACATTTCTCTTTATTCTTCTTTGCACTTTAAAAGCAAGCAACAAATATTTATTGGATGAAAAATACACTTTCACTTTTCTCACTTGACATAAAATTGAATCTTTTATAAAGAAAGGAAAAGCTAAGTTTGATGGTAGACCATAAAAATCAGTGTGGCAGGGTGTTTTTTAGAACTCAGTTTAACATGAGGTAAAATATAACATGAAAAATGAGTTTGTGTAATTAAGCAGTTTTTTTCATGCTTCTTTTTTGTGAGACAGGGTCTCACTGTGTAGTTCAGGTTGGCCTTAAACTCATTATGTAGCCCAGATTGGCCTCAAACTCAGTGATCCTCTTGCCTCGGCCTCCCTAATGTTTGGATTATAAGCATGCACCACCATGCCTTGCAACAATTTTCTAAAAAACTGTTTCTTTTTCTACTTGAAAAACAAGGTAGCTGCTAGACTTTTGTAATAAATTGATAACCATCATGGAATTATTTCTGATAAGCATTTTTATTGCTGGGCTCCAAGGAAAATTCACAAAGGTAAGAAACCAACAAGCTTGTACAAAAAATTAGGTTTACACACACACACACAGAGCAAAGGAATCAAGAGAAGATAACGATTCACAGATAGCTGACCCTGCTGTGGCAAATGCTAAACTTCCATGCACTAGGGCAGATTCAGGTCCTCTATGCACAGAGTAGGAACAGTGCAGGTTCTTAATTCCAAAGTGAGGGTCACAATCCTCCTGCTTCACGGTGTGACCAAGAGAAAAGGGAAGCATATTCCAGGCAGATAAAACACCACGGAAGAAGCCCTAAAGGTGACAGGCTGGAGAACGTGGAAGCTTGTTCCACTACTTATTTACAAACTTATGAATTACTATGACTTATACTAATGACATTTAAAAAGTCAAAGTATTAAATACTCATAAATGTATAAAATAAAGAAAATGTCCTTTAAAGGTATACTTAAGGTCTTAAGGGAATTATGAAGGACCAAAACAAAGATAATTAAAAATGTAAGTGATAAGTATGAAAGCTAATAGTACATCAGACCTGGGAATATTTGCATGTCTCTGTCATAAAGAGGTTTTTGTGTCTCCCAGGCTGGGAACAAAGCCTCTGGAGGACAGTCTTCCAAGTCAGGCTAAAATCTCTGAGGAGCTATGCCCTGGAGGAGAATCCACAGATTCACAAGAGAACATGGAGGAAAGGTTTGTCGTTTAATCTGGACACGAGGTAGATTGATGGGTACAGCTACAGATAGTGATAGAGACAGACATCAATCAATCAATCATTAAACGCATTCTCACACCCACACAGATTTAGAGTTTGAATATAGAAAAACACACCTACAAATTCCCACAGAAATTACACCACCACATTCATAGTTGCAAAACACAAGGAAACAATTCGCACTGCATGAAGTTAAAGGTCACCAGTTTATAGGAACAGGTAAAGCCTCAAGAAATTGGCACAGTAGAACTGTATTGATTGAAGCTATTTGGGAAATCACCGTTCCTCCTCTTACCTTCCTAGGTATAGAAACACGCACACAGTGGCATTCGGCTTCTTGCTCCATCTCTGATTCAACTCAGTCAGACCTGTTTGAGCACTGACGGCCATCAGGCCACATCCTCTAATGGGATGCAACTAATCTAGTAGAATAATGGCTGGGTCTCCCAACTGCAGGCCAGCGGGCCTGTGTTCATCACCAGGTGGCCTTCCTGGGTGTAGAATCAGCAGTGGTGGAGAAGCCCTGCGACCTTGGGCAGCTCTTGCTGGAAGATCATGCAGCCGATGTCCTGGTACTCTGGCCAGCATAAGGCGCAGGTGGTAAGGCAGGGGGCCACCGTACGATGCAGGGTGACATCCCGTGGGTAGGACAGCTGGGGCAGCGGCCCCACAGCAGCTCACTTATGTTGGGCTGGGCTTGGGCCAGCACCTCGAGGGCAGGCGGGGGCCCTCCCATCCGTCCAGGTGGGCCAGGGCCTCGGCCTTGTGGGGCAGCTGCAGCTCCACTGAGTGGACTGGTGTCTGAGAGCCGTGTCTGGACCACGCCCACCAGGTCAGGGCCCAGCTAGGATCAGGAAGCCCATCACAGCCTCCACACACCAGACCTGCGGGGTCGACTACCCCTACCTGGCCACCTAGATGGACTGGCACTTCCTGGTAGAGTCGTGGGCCCCCAAGACCATCTTTGATGCCCTTGGTGTGTTTCAACAGAACCAGGACCTGCCTCTGCTGCAACAGCACTCGGATTTGTACCCCCATTATTATGGGGGCGCCGTGGAACCAGTGCTGGTGTTCTGGTCCGTGTCCACCATGATCAACTATGACTATGTGTGGGACATGATCTTCCACCCCAATGGGGCCATCAGAGTCAAGGTCCACGCCACTGGCTACATTAGCTCCTCTTTGGGGTTGCCCAGCAGTATGGGAACCGAGTCAGGGAGCACATACTAGGCACAGTCCACACCCACAGCATGCACTTCAAGATGGACCTGGACATGGCTGATACCAGGTGACTGTGACCCCACAGAAGGATGAGGAGCCCAGCAGCTCCAGCATCTACAACGTGAATGACCTCTGGACACCAGCTGTGGACTTTGGTGACTTCATCAACAACCAGCCCAGGACCTGGTAGCCTGGATGACAGCTGGATTTCTGTACGTCCTGCACTCAGAGGACGTCCCCAACAAGGTGATGGTGGGTAATGGCGTGGCTGCTTCCTTCAGCCCCACAACTTCTTTGATGAGAACCCCACCTTTCTCTCTAGAGACACTGTGCGAGCTCATCCCCCACGCCCTCTTGCTCCTGGTTGCCACCTGTGGACCCCACGTCCCCCCTTCTCCCATGGGGGCTTTTCACACCACTAGGGGCGGGTGGGGGACAGGCCAGCCTCGCTCTCCGCATCCTTCCTCAACCCTGCTGTCCCCTGGATGGCCTCCTCCATCTGAAGGCTTCTGAACTCGGGGTACCCTTCAGAGAGGCACAGGTCTCACTGGTCCTGCTGTGCTGAGCCCACCAGGGAGGAGGGGGCGGCCCAGCCAGAGCAGAGCGGTGGCCAAGCTGTCCCCAGATGACGCCTGGGTTCTTTTCAATTTCTCCCTTGTTTTCATGAAGGAGACTTAATGCACTACTTAAAGTGCGCCTTGATAGTTTTCCATCCAGGCTCAAAGTGATGCAAGAAGAGCCACGTATTCCAGAACATTCCCATAGTCCCAGAGTCCCATTCCTATCAGCCATATTCCTCCAAGTCTTCCCCAAGTCTGGACACTGTTGAATCTCCTTCCTGTTGCCTAAGATCTGGCCATTTCATATGAATACCTACAAATGAAAAATGAATCTAATAAAACAAAAGTAAACACTTTTTTTGTTTGCTTCTTATCTGTGTACCCTGATCTGGTGCAAGTTGAAAATCCTAGGTGTGCCTGGGAATGGGACCCAACCAAGATGCAGCCTGTGGGATGGGCTGGCCTGAAGCAGGGAGAGAGAGCCCACACACTTCACTGAAGCATGTCCTCCAAGCTAAGCTCGCTCCCCAAGCTCCTTACCACCCAGCCTTTCTGAAGGCTCAGCAGCAGCCAGCATCACAGAGCTCAGGCATGGCTGTGCCTGTCCGCAGGGGCTTTCTACATGGCTGCTCTGCACTGCCAATGGGCCTGTCCAGGCAGCACCTCTGTGTCTCGTGAATGAGGTAAACCTGTGCTTTCTTGGTTTTTGTCTTGAATTGTGCTGAGCAACCCACATTTTTTGTGTTGATGAGAACATTCTTCATCATTTGTAATCACAAAACACATGGCGGAACAATCCCAGCTGGTGGCTGTGAGGGAGGCAGGTGTGAAGAGATCACATCCTGGGAAAAAGGTGAGTGTGGCCTAAATGGTCAAGGAAAGCACAATGGAAAGATGGTTGTTTCTGATTTACATTGTAAAACCCTGAAAAGTAAATTTAACATTACCAGAAATCACTCACGTTTTTCTTCAGTCTATTCTGAAGTCTGTTGGATTTGTGATGATCACCAAACACACACAGTAACAAACTTTTTCCCACTAGAGGCTGCTATTCACAGGCAGCACAGTGAATGAGGCCATGCCATGAGTGATAATCTTGCCATCAGAGAAAACAAATGCTACTAGGAAACTGCAGAAGCAGGAAGAGCTGTAGAATTTCCATCCAAATAGGCTTCAAAACAATACAGAAGTTTGCTGTTGTTTTTTTTTTTTCCTTAGTGGGAGACAAGAAATAAGAGAATAGCAAATCTGAAAATTTTAAAATGCAAGCGGATTGTTCCTGTACCTAAACAGAAAGAAATGGAGTCTTGCTTCTATTCTCCAAGTGAATTTAGCCGTCGCATCCAAGATCTGGATAGTGAACTTGAGTACCTCGTCTTCATCTACTTTTCTAAATTTTCACTGAAATATTCATCATGTTAATTTCCTATTGCTATTGTAACAAACTGCTACAAAATGCTTAAAACAACAGAATTGTATTGCTTCACAACTCAAGAGGTCAGAAGTCTAAAATGAATCAATTACATTTCATTTCTTTACTTTGTAGTTTTTAAAGGCTTCCTGCCTCTCTGGGCTCCTGGCACCTTCTGCCATCTTCAAAGACATCAGTCTTTTCATCACCTCTGCTTTCGTTTTTCTTGTCACTGACCCTCCCATCTGAGTACACTGGGCCCGTGCTGACAATCCAAATTGGTCTCTCAAAATCTTTAATTGTATCTACAAAGACTCTATTATCACATAAAGAAACATAGTCATGAATTTTAGCAATTATTATGTGGACAATTTTAAGAGCATTATTTTGTCTACCACAGTCTCTAGCTTATATATGTAAGATAGCTTTCCTGTTGCTGGAACCAAATACTCAACATTGCAATTTAGAAAAGCAGTTCGTTCTAACTTACAGTTTCAGTGGGTTTAGCTCATGGTCCAGCTGGAAGACAGAATCCACAAGGAGAAATGGTTTAGCAAAAGAAAGTTGCTCATTTCATGGTGGTCGTGAAGCAGAAACAGAAACAGGCCTGTGGCCTGCCTCTTCTGATCAAGCCTACCTCAGAACACAAGACTTTTAGGAAACATTTTAGATCTAAACTGTGACATCGTGTAATTCTTGTGTAATTTTTTTTGTGTGTGTGTGTTTTTTTTTAGAATTGTTTTGGGTTCAGGAAAAAATTGACTATAAAATTCACAAAATTCCTTTGGCTGCTCCTCAATCCTTATACACTGCCTAGCCCACCAACACTGGACACCCTATTGGTTCTTTGTTAAAAATGAAAGGGCTTTTGAGTGCATCATCTCTTTAGAGTGAGCTTCAGTAGGCCTGTCTGATCCAAGTAAACTCTCTAAGGCTGGATTTCTGAAAACCTTAAGAGCCCTAAACATCTTGAAACCCAGCACCCAGTCCAGAAAAAACCCAGTCTCAGCAACTGGTCCACTGGAGGAATCCAGGGGACTGGGACCAGCTGACCCAGGGAATGCCAGCCATACAGTAGGGCCCCAACTGAGGCACACATGATGGACAGGGGACACTAGTGGGATGGAAAAGTTCAACTTACCAGCCAACAGAGGGTAAGTTAGGTGAACCAATGTTGTACTTAGCGATAGACACACACAATAGAAACAGGTGGGTGGTGCAGCCCACCACTTTACTAAATTTGAATTTTATTTTATTTTTATCTTACTTTCTTTTTCCTTTTCTCTTGTCTTTTTTATTATTTTTTCTTTCTTTTTCTCTTTTCTAAATGGTTGAGAACTACAGCTACAGAAAACTAATCGTATCCTTCAAACCCAGAGACCAAGTTCCTATAATCTCTCAATTACTCCTTTTTTCTTTCTCTTCTAGAACCTCTAGTCTAGTTTCCCAATCTTTGCATGATCATTTTTTGTCCTCCAGCCTTGCTTCTACTTCCTTTCCAGTTATCTTTGTTTTATACACTCTCATTCCTAAATTTCCCAACCTCAGGGTAAGACCACTCTGCCAAAGGGAAACACTCTGCATACATAAAAACTCTTAATTTAGGATTGGTTCTGCTATGCAACTACAGACATTCCACCTATGGCCTAAAGTACAAAATCAATAGTTACCACAGCTGTCAGTTTCTAAAATGTTGATGCTACTGTTATTGCTAATTATTAAACTTTATCTAGGATGTCATATCTGTTGCAATAGGTTGTTTTCCCTTCTGCAACAATACAAGGAAGCTCTGGGGTAATAACCTCACCATAGCCGTACACTGAAGGACTGGGGACTGCACCAAACAGATACCAACATTCTTCCCTTGATTAATTGGGATGTAGGATCTTGAGACAGGCACAAATCAAGAACCTCCAACACACAAAATGTAGCCTTGAAGAACAGACTTTTCCTGAAGAGGCCTTGTACTAGTGATATAGCTGTCTACCACAAAAACTCACAAGGATCAACACACAAAACAAATCTTAAAAAAATTTTTTTGAAATAAAAAATGACAAGATGCAGAAACAAAATGTAATCTCAGATCTCCAGCATACCCAGAACAAGTCTAGGAGACACTGACATAGAGAAAATTGGAAGATACACACCTGAAATTTCTAAAATGATAGTAACTAAAGAAATAAATCAATGTGGCCAGAGAGGAAATCAGTTCATAAATAATCTCTTAGCTAAAAGAATATAAAGAAATAACAAACATAATAAAGGAACTGCTTAGGATGTCTAGAGAATATATAGATTTAAAAAAATAGAAAAGCATAGAAAATGATGGAAACTTTGAATGTAAAATATAGGAGAAAAACAGTGCAAGAAACAGATTCAAAGAGTTACCCTGGAAATTACAAATTCCACTGAAAGTTGGGAAAACTGCTTGAATGAAATTGAAGATAGAATTTCAGACCTTGAAGACTGGATCACAGCTAGAAATCATGAAAGAAAAGATCAAAACATAACAAGGGACCAGTAAATTATAATCCAACAGCTGCAAGATGATGTAAGAAAAACAATATTAGATTAATTGGTGTCAATCAAAAAGCAAGCATCAAAACAAATTACATAAAAAGACTATTTTCAGAAGTAAGAGCAGAAAATTTTTCAAGCATGGGAATAGAACCCGACATGCAGATAGGTGGGATATATAAACTCAAAATAGCCATGACCAAAATTAATCAGCACCCAGACATATAATAATCAAGATCCCAGAAATTCAGCACAAGAACAGAATAATAAAAGCTGTTAGAGAAAAGAAACAGATCACCTGTAAAGGAAAACCCATTAGAATCACACTCAACTTCTCAACACAAATCCTCAAGAAGAGCTTGGAGTGAAGCATTTCAAGTCCTGAAAGAAAACAACTTTCAACCCAAATTGATGTACTCTACAAAACTATCTTTCAAAGTTAATGAAGAACTAAGATACTTACATGACAAAAACAACAGAAAAAAATTCATAACTAACAAACCAACCCTGTGAAGAGCATTTAGAGATATTCTAGATAGAGGTAAAAAGGACGATAATTCTAAGAACAGTATCAGAAAGAAACTACCAAGCAGGGAAAACAAACAGTCACAGGAAAAGCAGGGAACCAACAGCAGTAAAAAAGAAAATGACAAAAATAAGCCAATATACATCAGTTATAACCATCAATGTAAATGGCCTCAATTCACCAAATGAAACAGCAGCAGAATGGATCAAGATATAAGATCCTACAATATACTTTATACAAGAAACATAGTAAACTCATAGACTCATAAAATAAACTCATAGAATAAAAGTCAAAGGGTGAAAAGCAATACTCCATGTGACAGGAAGACATAAAAAAGCATAGCTAGCTATTCTGATTGCAGAAAATGTGAACATCAAATCAAGAATAGTCAAGAGAGACAAAAAAGTTTACTATATACTTGTTAGAGGAAAAAATTCAAGAGGAAGACATAAATGTATATGTATCAATATGGGAGCACCCAATTATAGAAGACAAATATTAATAGACATGAAAAATCAAATATACAATAAAACAATTGTAGTGGGGGACCTTTTTGTAATCCATTGTCACAAGAGGTAGATGAACTACACAAAAAAAACCCCAAAGAATTAACAGAATTGAACTAAACCTATGAATGAATGAACTTAGTAGGTGTTTACAGAATGTTTCACCCAGCATCAGAATACACATTCTTCTCAGCTGCACATGAAATGTTCTCTAACATAGATCATATACTAGCCCACAGAACGTGCTTATGTACATGCAAGTGAATTGAAACTGTCCCATGCATATTATCTGATCATAAAGCAATGAAATTGGAAATTAATGGCAAATAAAACCACAAAAACTCCATAAATACATGGAAATTAAGTAACACTCTCCTGAACAACCAGTGGGTCATAGATGAAATTAAAGAACAAATTAAACAATATCTACAATCAAATGCAAATACACCACACCAGAACCCATGGTATGTAATGAAAGCAGACTTAAGAGTGAAGTTAGTATTAGAGAATTCTCACATCAGGGAAACAGAACACGCACAAATAAACAACCTAACATTGCACATCAAGTTTCTAAAAAAAAATAGTAAGTCCAAAATCCATACAAGGGAAAAAATTATAAAGATCAGAGCACGAAGTAATGCAATTGAGCCTAAGAAAATAATACAAAGAATTAATGAATCAGAGTGGTTCTTTGAAAGAATAAATAAAATTTATAACCTTATTCAACCTTATTTAAAAAGGAAAGAAAAAACTCAAATTTATACAGTAAAGAATAAAATGTATGAAACTATTATAGATCCTGTGAAAATTCAGAACATCATCATACCTACTTTAGTCACATAAGATGGAAAACACACAAAAAAATGGACAGAAAGATATGCATTAGCAGAGCTGAATCAAGGAGATATAAAAACTGTGAATAATGCAATATCAGTTAATGAAATTGAAAAAATAATTAACAAAGAAAAGCCTAGGTCCTGATGGAGTCACAGATGACTTCTAGAAGAAACTTAGAGAAGATTTAACACTAATACTCCTCAAAATCTTTAATGAAATTGAAAGGAAAGTCATTTTCCCTAACTCATTCCTGGAAGCAAGTATTACCCTTATACCTAAAACAGTGACTCAACCAAAAAAGAGCACTATAGGCCAATCTTCCTAATGAATGTATCACAAAAGCCCTCAATAAAATACTATCAAACAGAATGAGAAAATCATCAAGAAGATTATACACCATGACCAAGTGGGTTTCATCCTAGGAATTCAGGAATGCTTCAACATATGTAGATCAATAAACATAATACACCTTATCAACAGAAGCAAAGACAAAAATCACATAATCATCTCAATACATGCAGAAAAAACTTTTGATAAAGTCCAAGGCCCTTTCATGATAAAATTCTACAGAAAATAGGAATAGAGGGTCTTTACCTCAATCTGATAAAGGCCATCTATGAAAAACTAATAGGCAATATCCTATTAAATGGACAAAAATTGAAAGTTTTCACTCTAAAATCAGGAACAAAGCAAGGATGCCCCCTATCACCACTACTATTCAATACAGTTCTGGAAACATTAGTTAGAGCAAGAGAGAAATAAAAGTAATAAGAATAGGAAATGAAGAAGTTAAATTATCAATACTCACAGATGACATGATACTCTACATAAAAGACTCACAAACTCCAAAACACTTCTATATTTAATAAGCAAATTCCATAGCAAGGCTGTATGCAAATTCAGTACTCAAAAATTAATATCATTACTGTACACAAACAATAAAATCATTGAGAGAATATTAGGGAAACAACACCCTTCACAATAGCATCCAAAATACAAGGAAATACTTAGGAATCAGTCTAATGTAGGAAGCAAAAGATGTACACATTGAAAATTACAGAACTCTGAAAAAGAAGGTCAAAGAGGATATCAGAAAATAGAACAATATCCCCTGCTTGTGAAGAGAAAGAGCCAACACTGTGAAAATTGTCATATTCACAAAATGAATATACATATTGAATACAATTCTCATCAAAATACAATCAGCATACCTCATATATAGAGAGAAAACATCCCTAAAAATCATTTGGAAACAGAAGAGACCTAGAATAGCAAAGGAAATCCTGGGCAACAAAGGCACTGTAGGAGGCATCACTATCCCTGACTTGAAATTACAGTACAAAACTACTATAATAAAATTAGCATGGTACTGGTGAAAACACAGACCTGAGGATTAGAGGAACAGATTAGAACATGCAGGCACAAAGACACCCAGTTATTACCTTTGACAAGTGAGCCAAACATGTTCACTGGAAGATAGCCTCTTTAATAAAAAGTGCTGAAAAAATTGGCTTTCTACATGCAGAAGACTAAAGCTACACACCATGCACTCACCTGAAGCCAAAATGGGTCAAAGACCTAAACATTAAAATAGAAACACTAAATCTACTAAAAGAGAAAGTAAACAAAAATCTTAAAGATATAGGGATAGGCAGAGAGTTCATGAACACAATCCAAGCTGCACGGGAAGCACTTCAAATAATAAACAGCTGGGAACTCATCTTAAAAAATTTTTGCAAATCCAAAGAAATCACCAACAGAGGGAAAAGACAGCCCACACAGTGGGAAAAAATTTTAGACAACTGTCTTTCAGACAGAGGACTTTTATCTAGAACATAGAAAGAATCGAAAAAAAATCAAACTCCCTTAATTCAAAGGCCCCATCCAAACATGGGCATTTGAGATGAATACAGATTCTCATAAAGAAATATAAATGGCAAGTAAATATGTGAAAAATGTTCAATATCATTGGTCATTTGAGAAATGCAAATTAAAACAACACTGAGATTTCATCTCACCCCAGAAAGAATGCTTATCATCAAGATATAAAGCCATAACAAGTGCTGGCCTGGCTGTGGGGAAAGAGGGACACTTCTCCACTGTTAGCGGGAGAGTAAACAGTGCAACTGTGGAAACCAGTGTGGAGATGTCTCAAAAAATTAGCGTTGGAGGTCCCATTCAACCCAGCTCTGCTCCTTCTGGGTATTTTTCCAGAAGAATAAAAACGTCATACCACAGCAAGATATGTGCACCCATGTTAATAGCAGCACAATTTATAATAGCTAACTCTCGCAAATAATCCAATGTCTATCAACAGCAGAATGAATAAAAAAGGTGTGGTAGGACAAGCTCAGAAGTGTTATAGGTAAATAGATGCAACTTTTGAGATCACACTCATAAGCGAAATAAGTAACACTTACACGTGTACACATCACATTCTCTCCCTATTGTAAGAAACTGAAAGAGTAAATGAATCCAAAATGTGCAATAGATACTGTGAAATGTGAAGAAACTGTTCAAAGAACAACTGGAAATAGGGAAAGGAGAAAAGAAAGAAAGGAAAGGAAAAAAATATATATAAGATTGCTAAGATAACTATTGTTTGATCAGTTTTTATGCCTATATCTTATAATATGAGCAACTACCTTGAAGTTAGCAATATGCACTGTTAAACTTTTAAAAATTAAAGTCAAAGAAATTCTCTCCCCCCGCCCTTCATTCTCTCCCCCTCAGTTCCCATCTTCCTCTGCCTCTCCCTCTCTCTTTGATTTTTTTTGAGACAGGGTCCAGCTATGTAGTTCAGACTGACCTTGAACTTACTACGTAACCCAAGCTAATCTTAAATTATGGGCATCCTCCTGCTTGGGATTAGAGATACTACTACCATGCCTGACACTATTTAATCTTCATCTACATACTGTTTTTGGACAAACATATCATGGCATGTATCTATTGCTGGTTAGCATGGGTGCTTTATTCAGTCATAGTGGAAATTAAAAGTGAAGCATTCAGCATGAATTACCAGAAAAACTCCAACTGAAGAGACAGTGCAGTAGGGTGCAGCTCTGACAAGGGTCCAGTACCCTGTCCAAAGAAAGAAAGAGAAAATAGGGACGGGGATTCAGTTTGAGGAACTGAGGAAGAGGATCAGCCTGACAACAAAGAAGTGAGGACCAATTTTATGGGCTTCCACAATGAGCTTAGTGTAGAAAGCTAAGTTATTTAGAAATATGATCAGTCACAGGACTAGAACCTCGAGAGAGTCAGTGCAGAACATAATTGGATGGTGTTGCTTCCACTGAAGCTCGGGGCTCTGCATAGAAATATGATTACAACCTCATACTTCCCCTAACGTAGTGATTGATACTCAAAAATCTCCTTGGCTCCACGCTTCCAGTAAAAGCTCTTATTTGTTCCATGTATACTTGCTCCATGAACTACTTCCTTAAATGATTCCTGGTTAATCAATATTACCTAAGGGACCCGTAATCTTATTGGTCGACTATAGTTTACACCCAATTTACACCCACCTTGTGATTTCACATTGGATCAGTATTACCTAACTGACTATACTTGTAAACTAACTAGTTAATTGTAGTTTTGTTCCACTTTATATCCAGAGTTTTTCTCTTTTAAATGCTCTTGAGAAACTGGGTCTCCAATAACCCACTAAGGATGCCCTCTATCTCTCTTAGAGACTTCTCTAAATAAGTAAATTTCTACTTTT